CCACCATGCCCAGTTATAATTGCTAAATCTTTAAAGCAGCCTACAGGTCCATCGAGAATGAATGGATGAAGACAATGTGGTATTTATACACCATGCAGTATATAGTATTACTTTGAGTCATTTGTAGGAAAATGGGTACACCTTGAGACCACAATATTAACTGAAGTAAATCAGAGATACAAGATTAAATATCACACTCTTTCTCTTACATGAGAAAACCAAACTATAAATAATTAAGAAGCAAAATAAAAGATGGATAATAGTAAACAGGGAGACAGATCTTTTGCAAACAGTAAGGGGAATAAGAGAAGAAGGGAATATAAAAGAATTAAGATGTGTTACGCACATGTACCAGCTCCCTATGATGATGCAATCATTATGTGCTGCAAACATTTATTAATAAAAATGTGAAAAAAATCCATGCTAAGTCTTAATCATATTTAACCTGCAGAAAACATGCTTTCTGTTTGATAAACAAATATATCCAAAAGAGGCTGCGGGGAGGGGGGAGCCTCGAGAAAAGGAATCCTAGGAATAGCATCAGACTTCTCTTTCAAAACCCTAACAAACAAGAAGATAGTACAGTGAAATAATGAGCTCTGAGACAGAGGGAAAATGATGAACCTATTCTTTCAGCAGAAGGAGACTGCCACCCACTGGGGTGGACAAATCCCAAACCCTGCTGACACCAATTGCCAGCAGGGTGTGATGCACCAGGGATTCCCCTTCACTGCAGGAGGGCACAAGGGGTACAGACACTTCGGGGGAGCCCAGGCACTGCCTTAGAAAACAAAATGTATTCTTACCATAGTGCCCTATAGTCACGCACCTCTTGGGATTTATCTAAATAAGGAGAATGCTTAAGCCCACAGGAAAATCTGAGCACAAAAGATGCAGCGGTTTTTTCATAGTTGTCAGAACTTGAAGCAGTTAAGATACCCTGCAGCAGGAAGATGGAGAATAAACTATGGGACATCCAGATAATGAAGCAGCACTCAGCACTAAAAAGAAAAGTCACCAGCCAAGAGAAGTCACAGAGAAAGCTCAAGTCACACTAAATAGCGTGATCTAGAAATACTGTATGCTGTATCACTCCCACTATGTGACGGTCCAGAAAAGTCAAATCCATGGACACAGTGAAGGGTTAGTGGTTGCCTGCGGGGAGGGAGGAAATAACAGTACACATAGGAGATCAGGGCAAGGAGATCACTCTATGTTACAACGAGGGTAGACGCCTGTCAGTACCCATCTGTCACAGCCACAGAACATGCAATTACGGCCCAGCTTGTCCTGGTCACATGCCTGTGAGCAAGTGTTCTTTCCTCCCTGCCTTGGTTTCCCCTTTCCTGTAATGGAGGTCGGGGCACCTGCTCTGCAGGGTTGGTACGGAGTGTGCTTTCTCTGTATGACTGAAGAAGACTGAAGCTCAGTCTTCTTCCCTGGGCCCTGGGAACTAGCTCCATTGCATTTCTCCTGTGTCATCTGCTCTTTCAGGGAACACCTTCAGCACCCTGGCAGGACTGGTCTTTGACTGGATGACTGTGAGGGACCCAGAGGCAGATAGATGGGTTCTGACTCCCACCATACACAACGTTAAGAGGGACCTTGATGGGACCTGGCTGGCTTGAGGGAGCCGAGATGGGGAACATATGGCCCTTTCATGGCCAGGGGCTGCACAGGACTGTCAGAGAGGAGTCCAGGCCACTTCCCAGAAGCCTGTGAGTTTTCTGGTGACTGCAGGGAAAGGGTTTCCTCTCCCGTAGCTGTGCAGCACGTGGCTGTTTCTGGTATGTTCTATGGGAGCTCAGCAGAGGGACTGGGAGGTTTAGCAGGTGACAGGAGCTGACACCGAGAACACAGTCACTCTCAGGCCCAGGGCATGGGTGTGTGGCTACAGGGAAGAATCAGCACTCCCCCAGCGGAGCAGGCTAGAGGGAGGCAAGATTCAGTAGGGAGGACTCTCGAGGGCCATTGAGGGCCATTCTATATAATTTTTGAGGAAAAATCATTTCATAATTAAACTGTGATTACGGCTTGTCAGAGGCCTAGTATCCTGCCATGCGAGCTGGCTATGATATGCGGAAACATAACTGGATGTGCCTCTGGTCACAGTTGAGGCCTTCATGTTCCTGTGATGCTGTGATAGAAGAGGCCAAGATCACAATCAGCTGAAGACACCCTGGTTCTTGGGAACTGAGTAGTAATAAAAGTTCACCTTGAGGAAAGGACCAACTCCTTATTAACCTGCCATCTCTTCCCACCATCCTCATCAACATAATGGCTCTCATCTGCGTAGATCTCCAGTGCCCTCCAGGTCACCCCATAATCCCCTCACCATTTTCCTCAATCAGTGCATGCTGAGATTCTGGCTGCCTCAAGGCTTTTTGCTCCCCAGGGAAAAATGGTCATCCCAGATCCCTGCCACTTTGTCTTTTGGTTTTTCTTTTTGCCATGCGCCATAACACCTTGCAGGAGACTGGAGTCCACTGCAGTGGTCCCCGATATAGGATGGCCAATTGTGCTCCCCAGCACAGGAGCAGATGACACCTTCAAGTCTTGACTCTTTGTGCCTGCAGCAGCCACGTGGGCTGGACACAGCTCTCTAGAGACTGTTTTCCAGCCCTAGAAACAAACTTGAGACTCAGAGAGGTCAAGCCACTGTCTAGAGTTGGTGAGTGACAGGGCTGGGATTTGAACCCACTGAGTGTTGGCCAGGCTGGTGCCTCAAGTCTTTTTCCCAGGGAAGGACCCTTCTCTGGAGTAGAGTTTCCCAACCTCCTGTCCTCCTAGGAGATCAGGGAGGAATGGAAGCTGAGATCCTGGGGTTTCAGTGCATTTACAGTCACTGTTGGCTTCATTTCAGAGTGAACCCAGAACCTGTGTTTCAGAGTGTCTTTGTCTTTCTTTTTAGCTTTCCCTTTAAGGTGGATTCAGTTTTAATGTGACAACAGTGTCTTTGGAAGGATGACATAATGCAAGACATGAATGTCTTTTGCAAAGCTTCGTTTTTTCTTTTTTTTTGAGACAAAAAAGGCTGGCCTTCAACTTCCTTATGTGTACAGACTGGATGCAAACACAGCAATCCTCCAACCTTAGACTCCTGAGTGCTGGGATTATAGGTGTGTGCCACCACACCCAGCATTCCCTTTTAGTTTAGTATGTGATGTTAATTAGTGGGGCTTATAACTTATTAGTTATTGTGGATAATTGTTAGATGCTGTTCAAAATGTACATTCCCCATTTTCCAATTTTAACACCTTGACTTAGAAATGGAGTGTAACTATGACACTTTTAAAAACTACATAGATTCCACGTGGGTTTTTTTGAGTCTTTCTCTGTGGTCCAGTCTGGTTTTGAACTCCATACAGCACAGCCTGATACCAAACTCAATATCCTCCTGCCTCAGCCACCTGTCTCCTGGGACTGCAAGCATGTACCACACTATGCTTAGCTTAGTGGCTTTTCTTTGCTTGACCTTGTGCTTATCTCCAGTCATGAACTTTTTAGCTTAAATTGATTTATTTGGACCAGCAAATCGGTAGGGGATGAACTTGCAGATTGATCCAGGCAATAGAAAAGGACAAAATTCCATGAATGGACAATCTGGCAATTCATAGGGACACTGGTACACTGTGCTGGGTTTCCAGGTATATGACACCAAACCTATTTTACAAATTTTTTTTTAAATCAGAAAAAAATAAACTGGATCACACTAGCTTATAATAGTATCCCCTGGCAAATTGTAACATTGATTGATAAGATAGATATTTGTCATAAGTCTGAATCTATCCCTTTATCCCCATTTACTGAAACACAGCTTCTAAAACCCTTGGAGCCCCTAAAATAATTATCTGCCTGCATGCTAATACATAGCTTGTGCCAGGAACCAGCCCTGTGATCTGAGGGCTGGAAAATTCATCTTTGCTGGCCTTCCATCTTGAGAGGAAAGACTAGAGACAACAGTCATGATGGCCAACACTGAAGCCACTGCACCTTCTTAAATGAGTCCTAAAAGGCAACTTCTGGTTGCTGAGCCTGTGGAGCTACATGGTAGGCAGCAGCCCTTTCCTCCCCCTCACAAGGTATTTCTCTCATCTGTCTGGTCATTCCTACTTTTTAAAATAGCCTTTGTAATAAATCAGTCTATAATGTTTCCCTGAAGCCTGTGAGCTGCTCATGCAACCCTTGATGGTGATCACAAGGCATCTCAATGTATGCCTGGTTCTTGGCAGCGCAGCTGCAATGGCCTACGATGTGTGGGGCTGACCCAACTCCAGGCTGACAGCATCAGAGCAGCTCGTATGGCGGGAATCCTATCCAGCAGGGGTGGCAGTGAGGAGTCACAGTGAGGGATGATTTAGTAGGTGCCAACAGTTTAGTAGCTTTTTCTACTACATAAATGAAGAGAATACAAATGGGATGGAGCGAGGCTCCTGATGGGCCGGTTTCAAGTGTTTTTTTTCCAAGCTGGGCATGGAGGCACACACTCGTAATCCCAGCACTCAGGAGGCTAAGGCAGCAGGATTGCTGAGTCCAGTCTGGGTTACAAAGTTAGTCTGAGGCTAGCCTGAACGACATAGCAAGACTCTGTCTTAAACAAACAAACAAACAAACAAACATCTTATCCACAGCTGGGTGTAGAGGCACACAATGACAAGGTTGCAAGTTTGAATCCTACATGGACAACTCCATGAGACCATGTCTCAAAGTTGTGAAGAGGCTTTGGGTGAGGTGCAGAGCACTCCAAGGGTTTGATCCACCAGGACTGGGACAAAAACATCACAGGCCCAGAGAGGCAAAGGCATTCATCACGAGAGTTCCGTTCTTTTCTGCAGCTGCAACCTAAGCCTTCCCCTTGGTATCAAGCAGACTGCTGGCAAGGCCACTGATGGGAAAGCACCTGAAAACAGCGGGCCACTGAAGGTAAAGGCTCTGGGCTTGACCCTCAGTACTGCAAAAGAACGAAGCCTAATTAAAAAAAAAAAAAAAAGACATTCAAGTCAAGTAGAAATCACCTTTCTTTTAATTGAGTTACTGAATTCACAGTTTCCTCTCTTGGCTGCTACACTGGTAATAATCAGGTCCCAACATCTAAGAACACGACATCTGACCAGCCTGAGAGCCAGTGTGAATATGAACCCTAAACCAGGGCTCTTGGAAAAGTAAAACAAAACAACAAAACAAGAACAGCAAAAAGCAGTCTTGCCTTTCACACAGAAAGGGACAGGAATTAGAGGGTCCAGATCTGTACTTTCCACACTAGAAAACCAAGCGCAAGGTGAATGGAAACCAAATTACATGAGGAATGGAGTCCAGGACCCCACACGCAAGGGTACAGTGGTCTTGCCCACCTGGCCTCTTCTATGAGGAATGGCCCCACAGAGCATTTCAGAAGGAAGATGCTGCTGCTTCTATTTAATTTCCTAAAGAGGTATAAAAGCTACAAAAATGATATTACAGACCAAAACAAATCAACTCATGAGAAACATTCCCTGGGTAACAATTTTTGATTGCTGAGAATATTCAGTACATTATTTCGGAGTGGCAAAATTCAGGCCAATCAGAGAAATCCAAAATGGCAGAGACACTGGCCGACAGGTTTATGCAGGGGACACACTCACACACACACACATACACACACACCCTCTGCTCTGCTTTTCAGTGTATCTGTCAAGGGGCAAGACCTTGATCATCAAAATAAATTATTTTATACATTACAGTGCACAGACCAACATAGGAAAACACATTTCTTGAAGAGCAACGGAAAGGCATTTTGCAAAAGGTCCATGTCACTCTGGAATGAGAGGACGGAAGCCTGCAGAGTGGCCTGCATTAACTAGATGCCGCCTCTTCTTTGGAAGCAGTGGTTTTAGAGGGAGCCGTTTCCTTTTCATGTTCTGCTGGCTTCTCTTCCTCCTCCTCTTCCTCGTCCTCTTGGGGATACAGGTCTGGGTATTTCTGCATGCATTCCTGCATGGCCCGAAACTGGTCTACACAGTCCGATCCCTTGATGTCTTCTGTGCTGTAGTGGAAGCAGGAAAAAGCCGACTTAAATTGTTCCCCACAGGGGCCGCTGGCCATTCCCCCCAGGCACGGGCAGTTCCAGTTGATATCTCCATTTGGCAGTATCAACCCTGTGGAGGAAAGACAGCATGGGAAAAGTGAGAAGTGCCCTTCAGGTTTAGTTCAGTCCTCCTGGCACCTGGTGCGCCTTGCTCTCCGCACCCAGCTTGGTTCCGGAGCAGGTTCAAAGGCCTAGCACAAATCTGGCCTTTCTCAGCCTGTAGGATGGTGTGCACCCTGCTCTTCAGGAGTAATGTTGAACTGAGCTCTGCACCACCTCCCAGCACTGGAGGTTGTAATGAGAACTCCAGAAGCCATTTATGTCCTAGAAGCCAGAAGTTAAGGCAGTCAGCAGGGTTCTCTGAAAGCCAACACCTGAAGGAACTGCAGTCCTAACTCTGTCCCATAGCCCTTGAGCCCTTCCCATGCAGCCACACTAGAAGCTCAGCAGTGGGGACAGGTGAAAATGAAATGGCAAATTCATACACAAGCACACAGGAAGCTAGCTGTTGAAGACATGATGTGTGACAAAAAACTAATGGCTATCAGAGCGGTGCGATGGCATTCTGTGGCAAGAAATTATTAGAGCTGGGGTGTGGCTCCATGGCAGAGCACTTGCCCAGGATGCACAAGGCGTTTGGTCTGACTCTCAGAACCATAATCACCACCCTTCCCTGCAACAAACAAAAAACTCAGTCCGATTACACTGTTAGAATGCATATAGGTGAAATTTTAGATGGGTTTTCATTTTTAGTATTACATAAGCCTCTTACTTTTGAATTTTATCTTATTTTTGAACTTTGTTCACATCAACATAATATTGAGGGTCAGAGAGATATGATTCATATAAGTTTCTTAGAGAATACTCTTCAAAAGAGTCTTTACAAGGCCCACTAATACTCCACATGTTGCTTCCAGGGACATGGCCAGCCATGGCACTCACACCAATGCCCCAAGTCCCAGCCAAGCCCCACCTCGCCATTCTAGCCCCAGAGGCTGCACTGCTCAGTGGACCTGCAGCTACCGGTCCTTAGGTATCAAGGGCTAACAGTGGAGATACCAACTGGCCCTGCACTTTCTAGAGCCATTCATTACGAATACCACCAACAGCCACACAGCAGGTTCTTGTACATGGAGTTATATCCCAGCCATCTTCAACCACCTTCCGCTGTGGATGCTACTAATTGTCTATGTGTGCAGTTTCCAGGCTTCGTCAGGTCCAAGCCAGGCCTCCTGCACTACCAAAGCCCAACTCTGTGGCCCACATCTCTCCTTAATCTTGGGAATTTCAATGCTGAAAAGCCATGTGGACGCTACCCCTGGGGGTGCACATCTGCTAACAACCTGCACAGGCAGTTACCTAGGAAAAAATGGCACTTAAAAGCCTGGGTCTGTAGGGACTCAATATAAATCCACACACATGGTAGCCTCAATAACTAAATTAAGGTCAGAGGTACATTTTTAAAAACCACTGAGAGACAAATAAAAAAAAGCCTGATTTTTCCTGCAGGCATCCAGACTCTTGATTGATTAACAAACAGGCTGAACTAGTTTGGATCTAACGGCAGCCAGAGGATAAAAACTGACCAGATTACTATTCTCTCAGGGCTGAGACAAAATACCCAACTCTCAAAATTAAGGAAGGAAAAGGTCTATTTAGCTCAGTTTATGGAGGTTTCAGTCCATACGCAGCTGGTTCCAAGACAGGGTGGTGTGGCTGAGGGGCAGCCGTTGATGGCGGCTGTGGCAGATATTATAAGCGACAAATGCAAAAGGGCAAAAAAGCACACCTCCTTCCCTCCCTAATGTCCTATGCCAGATACCTGGCCCAGGGCAGGTGCAGCACTCACATCGCCAATCCCAGTGCTAGACAATGAACCAAGCACAAACACTAAATTCAGCTGCCTTTGAAAGGCCCACCCCTCGTGACATAATGAAGCCTTAAGGGAACATCCAGATATAAACCATAACACTGACATATGGTTTATTTTTCTTTATGAAAGAACTGATTCAAAAGATTATTCCTACAGCGGTCATTCTTGGAATACTAAGACTTGGTATGTCTCTACTTTCTATTCTTCCCAACAGGGTGATATGAGGTATGACTGAAAAATACAGTGGGTGTTTAAATCTTTTAAAAAATTTGTTACAGTAAAAAACACACTACAATGAATCTCCCTCAAAACACTATTCTTTGATACTATAGTCCTTGCTGCTTCCTGAAGCAGCTCTGAAGTCCTCTTTCTTGGGGGTCTTTACCTGTGCTTTCATGGCTTCCCTGATGTCCTGAATTGATTCAAAACATTCATTTTTCATGGTCATTTTGACTCTGAGAAGGAGTGAGAAGTCACATGGTACCAGATGTGGAGCTAGGTAAATGAGGACACACTGTAGTGTTTTTACCAGCCTGCATTTCTGCTGGGTGGTACCAGGCAGCAGCATTCACTTTAGTTTTGACTTAAAGTCAAAAGACACTTGTGAAAGGGAACTCTCAGAACTACTCCAGAAAGTATCAAGAACAAAGGGATAAGAGTGGTGAAAGTTTACCGACGAAGAATGAACAATATGTTTTTTACTGTAATAAATTTTAATGTAGATATTCCTAGTCCTACTATATATATGCATGCCTGGCTTTCCTTTAACCTGTGGAACAGGAAGGGTAACAATCGAAGTACCCCATCTAGGAGCATAGATGCTCTTTCAGCCGTATCAGCATCAGGAATGGTTCTGATGAACTGACCGCTGCTTATTAAACATGGATTGTGAAGAAACAAAAACAAAAACAAAAACAAAAACAAAAACAAAACAAAACATGGATTGTGGTGAACACCGCACACACACACCCACCTTATAGAGATGGGGCAAGGGTCTGTAATCTCTAGAGGTGTCTCAGTCCCAAGTGACAAAGGTACGCTGGCTGTTAACGGAGGTGTGTACAGCAGCTCTGATTGGGTCAGCAGAGTCCTACTGCTAGAAAACTGTCCATCTCTGTGACAAGTACTAGTTGCAACACTGACCAGGAGACAGCAAAGACCCCAGGTATCTTAGGGACAAGCGGTACAGCTGCCTGTGTTCACACTTGGCAGATGTGGTACAATTCAGTCTGGTAACTAGCAGATGGGTCCCTATACCCTGACCTACGTATAACTGCCAGAACACAGACACTCTTGCCTGACACTGAATCACTGGGAACACCCAGATGGTTTAAGTTAGTGTGAAGAGTCAAGAAAGAAGAGCAGAACTTCAGTGAGGAGAAGCTGCTTGCTGGCTCAACACAGGCCCAGCACCTTCCCAAGGGACAGATGGACACAGAGTCAGGGAAGCTGCCCTGGACGCGATCGGAAGATAATTCTCAACACTGAGCCTGCCCTAAGTCAAGGCTTGGGGTCCCCAGGAGGCCCCGCATCACTCACCATGTTCTTCGTATGGGTCGTTGGGGTCATCGGCCACCAGCTCTGCACTGCTAGGAGTCTCATGGTCTTCTTTGGTCACAAATATTATCTGGTCTTTCCCTAGTGTTTGGAGAGTGGAGGGAGATATGCATCACTTGAAAGCTGCCACACAAACCACCAATCGTTGCTCCCCTGGGTGGTATCACTGGCTCTGGAGAATGGCCCAGCAGTCACTTCCCCCAAGAGCTTGAGCTGGAACAAAAACTCCACTGAGGCAGTATATCCTGCCTTTCAGGTGCACCCTCCAGGTAGGGGTTAATGCTCCAATTCACCAAAGGCAGCTGCATCACCCCAGTTTGCTGACAGTCCCCCACTGTGACAGGTCTCATCTTCATCAAGAAAGCACTAGCAGCTGGGTGTGGTGGTGCATGCCAGCACTTGGGAGGCTGAGGCAGGAGAACTGCTGTTAGTTTGAAGCCAGACTAGGCTACACTGTGAGTTCCAGGCCAGGCGGCACTAGAAAGAAAATAAAAGTGACAACCTCCCTGCCCCCAGGAAAGAAATGAGGAGGCAGCCCCTTCGAAGGGTTCTCATGGCACCTACTCTCCACACCACCCCAGCTGTGGGTTCTCTCCTGTACAATGAGACTAACCACCTTCCCAGTGATCACCGGCAAACCAGATGACCTTGCAGAATAGAGTCTGGGTGCTTAGTGCCTGTAATGTGCCATGGGGTAGGAGAAAGCCTCTAAGACAATGTATGCTTTTTTACCCTGGGGGTTTACCCACAGGAGTCTGAATACGGAGAGTTCCAGGAGGACTGAGGTCTGGGCAGAGGAAAGCACACAGCAGTGTAGAGGCCTATTGGATGATGGCACCATCTGCCCAGGATGGTGATGCCCAGGAAGCTGCTCTGGGGATGACAGGGTAAAGATCTTCCAGGAAAAGGAAGGATCATGGCAGTGGGGAATGCCACAGCCATGCCACAGCCTGGTGCCAGGGAGCCTGTCATGGAAGGGCTGATGTTCTCAACCTCTGTGAGGAATATCCAGAAGCCAGAGTGCAGTATCCTGTCCAGGACCAGAGCCTCAACCTCTGACTTGGCTGCCTCCAGGGAAACAGGTGGGAGCCAAATGCACTTTACACCAATAATGTCTTCTAATGGGGGGAAGGGATGAGCTCAGAAAAAGGCATCAGAACCGATCACACTGGGGTGGGGCATTCAATACCTTGTTTCACCTAAATCTTACAATGTAAGCATCACCTCACCCACAGATTGCAGCTGCAAATTAAAAAAAAAAAAAAAAAAGTGGCCAGGTCCCACCAAGCCATGTCCTTCACTGTCCTCCCATGGATGCCATGCAGGTACACACACCCCCATCTTCCTGCATGCTCTGGCCATGAGCTACCACCATGATGGAAATGCCAGCTGTTTCCATCATGGCAGGGGGCACATCATCATCAGTACCCTACTCACAAGGCAGGTCATCCCTCTCCCCAGCAGTGGAGCAGGCAAGTCAGTCTCTGGTCCCTTCACCTGATGCCTAAACAGGAGAGAGGACAGCAGTACTCCCTCTCCAGCATTAAGCCTAGACTCTGGGCTCGCCCAGGGCTGGAGTCTCAACTGGCCCACATCCAGTGGCCCACATCTCTCTAGCACAGGTGCAAAGACAACTGATTGGGTAGATAACAAGCACCTCTTGCACACTGAAAACCAAGTGAATGTCTGCTGAGTGAATGGTGAGGATCATCCCCGAATCCTATGGAAAAAGTACAAGGACAAATTCTACAGCCCTCCTGACTGTTCAGCAGACTCTGGGAGATCTGAGATTTCAGGACCCTCAGTAGGCAGAGATGAGGACTTGAACTATGTCCAAAGTGCTACAGCTGGAGCTGAGTTCTCTCAGGTTATCTACAAGAAACCAATGATCCTGTGTGGCTTAGGGAAGCATCTGGGCCAGCAATGGAGACACGTTGAAGAAAACACTGGAAGCAGACTACAAAGTGTCAGATGCTAAACAAAATCAACAGATGCAGCCTGTAAAAACAAAGACTGGGCCTTGCCCAACCAAAGCTGAATGGAGCTCTCTGGCAGGTCCAGCATGCTTGTGGGCTTCAAAGGGTGGAGTGGGGATTCACAGGCAGGTCAGGACCCAGAGGCCTGGCACAACACGGAGAAGGCCCACGTCCCTGCCACCAGGCACTGTCCTGGACAGCAATCTTAGTGCACTTTCACTCTGGGCTGCAGGATGACCAGCAGCGGCGCATCCTCTACCAGGTGTATCAGACATCCATGAGCTCATCTAGTCCTCCCAGTGCAAGATGAGAAACAGCCCAAAGTTGCATGGTGGGTAAGGACAGGGCAGGAGCTAACTTTGGCCAGAAGAATCCAAGTGTGCTACCTCATACCGGGTGCCCCACATACCTGTCCCACCAGACCTTTCTTTGTGGAAGGTTTAAGAAGGCACAGGGGCTGTGGGTGTGGGTCTAGGTAAAGGATCTGCCCAGTGTACACAAGGCCCTGGGTTTCATGCCAGCACCACAAAAGCAGAATAAAAGGAAGGAAGCAGGTGCAGAAATGATGAAAGTCAGTGCCGATATATGCTTTTCTAAACCTGTAAAAGCCCTAGTTGTAAGAAGGCCAACTAATATACTACTCAGCCAGACTTGTTCTCATAAAGTAGCTCAAGCATTTTTCTAGAGAAATAAAATACAGAAATCTTGTTTTCATTTCCACGATAAAACAAAAACCCAGAGGTGTGATTCTCGCTCTCAGAAGGATGTGTACAGTTACCTCACACTTGCTCCTCCTAGTGGCATTGGTGTGAAAGCCCAAGGCTGCAGCGCAAATCAGTCAAAACTCAGGTGGCCCACCTGGCTCAGCTCTCTACCTTGCAGATCAGAGAAGAGGTGAGTTTCTGCTTTTTAATGGCATGACTGACAAGGATACAACAGAAACACCAACCACAGGCTGGAGAAGTGAAAAACATCTGAGAACAGACTGAGCTCTCCCTCTCACCAAGTGGAGACAGAAACCCAAGGGAGGTCACTCTCTGCCCCAAATCCCTGGCATGGGTCAGGAGCCAGAGGCTGAGCAGTTAGAACCGAGGCCCTTATTCCCAAACACTGTTGTGGTTCTGTTCTTTGTTGAGTGGTCTATGGCTCAGTCTCTCTAAATTCAGGACTCTACCTGCAAGTGCATCCAAGATCTTGTGCCCCATACCTGTGGACATCCCTCACTCCCAGCTGAATTGTGGCTACGGTGAGGACAAGCAGCCAGAAGCAAAGCTGCTTTAGTTGGCCTGGCTGAGTTGGACTTGGGGTACTTAATTAGATTTGTTAAACTCTTAAAACACTAAAACTGTGTAGGCTTTCAGGTCTAGAATGTAACTGCCTTGAAAGATGCAGCAGCCCAGTATTTAGGAAGGAAATTCTAAATGTACAAAGGAGATTCCATGGAGTGTATACTTGCTGAGCTCTTAGAGATCTATCCAGTGTTTGGGCACAGAGATCAAGATTCTCTTCTGGTCCTTAGGAAAACCCTTAACCTGGAGGGGATCATGAGAAGCAGTGGTCTGTGAAAAATGCATGAGCAGCTTTCCGCCACAGTCTTAAGGAGAATGTTAGAAGTCATGATTACTTTTCTTTTCTTTTAATCCTTTTGAGACAAGATTCCACTATTCAGTTCGGGCTGGCCTTGAACTCACTTTGTAGCCTAAGCTAGCCTTGAACTCAAAGCAATCCTCCTGCCTCAGCCTCGTAAGTGCTGAGATTACAAGCATGTGCCACCATGCCCAGCTTAAGTTAGTTTTTGTCACTGTCTAACAAAGTACCTAAGATAATGGTCAACAAAAAGTTGACTTAATCTTAGGTTTTGGAGATTTCAGTACAAGGTCAATTGGACATGCTGCTTTGGGTCACTGAGGAGTGCTGGGTGGGGATGTCAGGAACTGACATTCCTCTGACTTTCCGATGATGCCATCCTGGAGGTCATACCTTTCACACGGGTTTGGGGGCACGCACAAAATGCAAACAACAGCAGAAGTTTAGCTTAGCCCTCATTAAGTCTAGCTGTGTGGGATTTGGGGGTCACAGCTGAACACAACACAGGAACTCTATGGAGAAGCCTGGTGGGGAGTGAGATTTCCATCAAGGAGATGCTAAGGAAGGGTTTCACCTGGGGCAAGACCCCGCTCAGAAATTTTAGGGAGCAAAGGATGAATGACATCTCAGGAGCCCCATGGCCAAAGCTAGAAGGAAAGACGTGTTTCTATCAATGATCAGAAGATAGGAAGCAGTTCTAAGAAATGACCCTCTGCAACTTTCCAGTTCTTATGCCATCTCTTCCACCATGCCTGGAAGGCGAAGAAAGTGTCACCTTGGTCACTATTCTATGCCTGGTGGCTGACTCATCACACACTCAATAAACATATATTGACTGACTAGGACAGGATAGGCTCTGCATTAGAAAGAAAAAACTGCCAAGAGTAGAGGCATGCAGCTGTGATCCCAGTTACTTGGGGAGGCTGTGGCAGGAGGATTGTAAGTTCAAGGACAGCTAGTAAGATCATCTCAAAATAAGAAAATTTTAAAAAGGGGGTTGGGAGTTGTTGCTCAGCACTCTCTGGGTTCAATCCCTGGTAATGCAGATAAACAGAGAAAGAGAGGGGTGGGAGTATAAGGAAGGCCTAATGGAGAGCTGCTTTCAATTCTCACCCTCAAACTAGGAACCAGGAAAGGTTGGAGCTCCAGGTCATGCTGTCAGACAGTGCTACCAGACCCTCCTTTCCCCAGAAAATAAATGGATCTGTGAGTCAAGAGAAGTGGTTTGACCAGCTCAGCCTCTATACCCTAAAAGCCCAGAATTTCCTGCCTTAAAGAGTAAACTCAGAAGAAACAGAAAACAGAACATGAGAGAAAATGTTTCAACTGTGGGGACACAAGGGTTCCCAATTGTGGCATCCGTTAGCTGTGTGGCCCTCCAGACACAATGATCACAGTATTGCAGGCAGCTGAGCTAGTCAGAAATATTGTAGGCAGTCAGACAGGGCCAGGTCCTCGAAGAAGCCAGCACAGAAGACCAAATGTTTTGTGGCACTAGAGGAGATACACACCTGTTGCTGTGGGCCAGATCTCAAGACAGAAGGCAAAACAAATGCAACCACAACCCTAAGTATGTTAGGTATTAGATAAGGTTCACCTTGAGAAGCCAGGAGTCACCATCCCAACCCCCTATAGGAAGAGTCACTGATCCATAAAGAATGCTCCATGACTCGTTTCCCCGTTTGTCCCTAATTTAGTTAATTTTTCTTCAACAATTGAACATTTTGGTCAACCATAGCTCTGTCCCACTTCACTTCCATGTGCCTTGCCAATTCCTAGTTTTTCCTGCCTTAGACCCACCTCACCGCAAAAACTCTCAAGATCCCCAGAAAATACACAATCTTGGGCAGTTCACTTGGGACTCCTTCTGTCTGTCTCTCAGACAGAAGCTTTCGTTCTCTCAGTAAATATTTTTGCTCTCAACCGCCGTTGTTCCTAAAATTCATTCTTTCATTTTAGAGAACACGAATTCATACCGGACATACAGTAGCACGGGAGTAGGTTCCCCTATATCAACAGAGACAGCATTTGTGTTCAGAAGCCGGCTGTGGAGCAGGACAAAGGTTCCATATTTTAAACTGTGCTCAGACTGGATAAATGACCTTGGGTAGGTCGCCTGCCTCTCTGGGCTCGGCATCAAATATTTTCCGGGTTAGTTCTAATTCTCTACAGTTTCTCGTTATCTTTTCCTTTTTTTTTTTCTTTTGCCAATTTTTGAGGCAGAGTCTCACCATGTAGTCTAACGGGCCTGGAACTCGCCGTGATCCTCCTGCCTCAGCCTCCCTGCTTTGCCAGGCTCAGTCCTCGCGGGTTTGGGTTCCCAGTATCGACCATTCCTGTTCTTTGCTGGAAAGGTGCTTCTTGTGCCCTCAGGCGAGAGGCCCGACCTCCAGTACCCCCGAGGGTCGGATTGTGCGGGACTGGAAACAGCGTGGCTGAGGTGCCTGGGTCGCCGCCTCTGCCTGCGGCCTCCGGACCGCGACTAGCGGTTCCCCTAGCTTCGGATCGCCTCGGGACCCACGCAGACGGCGCGGAGTCCTACCCGTAGGGTCACCGTGAACCACGTGGGTGCCACCTTCCCGAGCTCGGGCACGTGGTGCGTGGCAGCAGCCCCTCCGACAAACCGCGCGGCACACTATATGGAGAGGCTGGGCCCGCGCCCGCCTCGACCTTGGGCACCCGCGCCGCTCCCCGTAGATCCCAGCCCCCGGCCCACTCACCTTCCTGTCGGCAGTAGGACATAGCGCCAGCGTTGCAACCCGCCCCCACTCTCGACCTAAAGCTCCTCGCTCCGAAAGGCCGGCTCTCAAATGCGAGCACCGCCCTCAGGCCTGCCTGACGCGCACCTGCCGGAAACTACGCTTCCCAGCGGGCCGCGCGCCTGAGACGGCTCTTAGCCACAGGGACTACATTTCCCAGGAACCCTGAAGTGCGCAGGCGCACCAGCGAGGGACTGCTGCAGCTGCCAATTTGTTCCGGAAAGCGCATGAGCTCCAACTACATTTCCCAGAAGGCTGTGCAGCGCGCATGCGCATAAAGGTCTGGATACCCGAAGGGCGGTACCCCTGTAGCTAGTCGCGAGCCGTCCTGGTGTCTGAGCGGGACTTCACAGCTGCGTGCAGGTTAGAGGCCAGCAAGTTGCAAGCTGCGCGGCCAGTCCACTTCCAGCGGAGCGGAGTCAAAGGCGGGAGTCGGCCCCATCATGGCCGCGAACGTGAGTGTCCTGGAGTATGCTCGTCCCGACCTCAGGGGCCCCGGGGATCCGCCTTTCGTCCGGATCCCGGGGCCAGAGTCGGTCCCAGCGGGGTGGCGGATGAACAGGTCCTTGTAGCCGGACGGGACCCACGGGCCGGAGCCTGGTCGTAGAGGTGGGGAGGCGACCCCACCTGGAGCTGTGTAGCCTCACTCCCGGGATGTGTGCGCGCTGGAGGCAGGGAGCCTCCGCCCAGGGTATGTGTGTTGTCGAGGCCACATCCTACTGCCGCCCCCCTGCGCAGATCTGGAAAGATCCCTGCCGAGGGATCATCAGTACTGCAGACCGCTTCTGCCCCGGCCTTCCTCAGAGACTTTATTTGAGAGCGGGGCGTGGTGGCGGATGCTTGCAGTCTCAGTACTCTGGAGGCTGAGCCAGGAGGGTCTTTGGGAGTTCCAGCCCTGTCAGGGCTACAGAGCAAGACCGACCGTGTCTTAAAAAAAAAAAAAAAAAAAAAAAAAAAAAAAAAAAAAAAGAAACCAAAAAGAAACTCTATTGAAGTCCAATATTCATGGAGAAGATCAGCAGCACGCCTTCGCAGGGCCCTGGGTGTGGAAGAAGCTGGTGACTCACAAGTGCTAGTAGGAGCCAGTTTGGGAGCTACCAGTCCCAGCCACGCCCTCCTCTTGTTTGGTGCAGTGCCCTGCTGCTCTCTCCTGACCCTTACAGTCTCTTTCCAGGCCTCTGTGTCCTCTCACTTCCTCTACCCTTGCACCTCTGGAGAGCCAGGGTCTGTGTCACCTACTGCCCCAGTGAGTTCTGCCATTGAACGCTGCCTCTAGAAGGACTTGGAGGTGGTCCCCAAGAAGTCAGTCCGTAGTCTGTGTGCCTGCATCCTTGACCCCTGTATTTCACAGTGTCTCAGCCATCTCAGCAGGGCGGGGAGGGTGCTAGTGAGGGCAAGTACTTACTGAATGGTGTCAAAGAGGGATCTTCCCTGTCCAGCACCAGTGGTCCTTGGGTGTGCTCCGAGATTCCTCTCGGAGAAGCACAGCCTGGATATTTATCCTCTGCTGCCAGACCTTTGTTTACTGGCTCTGTAGCTGGGTACACATCTATGAAGCCACCAGACTGGGTGAGGAAGAAAGACCTAGAGATAGTGGGTTAAAGCAGGGAGACAGCAGAAGTCAGTATAAAGCACCTGTTCTCTGGTGAAGTTGTTATATTCCACCTCCTGGAAGCAAACAGCACTAGTGAGCTGGAGCAACTTACCTAGGAGTCACACAGCAAGTGACTGGCACAGCCACTTTTCTGGCCAGGTCTGTCCATTTCTGGGGCCTCGATGTTGCTCCCTGTTTCACTCCTCATTGCTCATTCCTTGTGGGCCCCAAGTGCTAGGTGTGCAAGGGTGCGTGTTACTGAGAGATGGCTCTGTTACGAGCATTCTCCATGATTCTCCAGAACCCTCTGAGTTTACTGAGGATTTGGTTCTGAACGTGAGGGGGATGTGCCATGTTACAGCCCACACGGACCGTCTCTGGGGCATTCTCCCAGGTGTGTGAGCATCTGTCCTGAGTATTGGCTGAAGGGACAGGAGGGCAAGTCTCCTGTCCCTGTCACTGCCTGCTGCCCACGGCTCAGGAGATGAAGATGTGTGGAACAGAGAGTAGACCGGTGGCCTTGGCTCTGCTGGGACCAGAGCGCAATTCTGCCCAGAGGCTGTGTGTCTGATGTGCTATGACCTGGGCTTGCTTGTGTCATGTCTGGGCATGTTTGCCATTGTAATTAGGATAGTTGGATGCCTCCACAGTGATCCCAGCTGGTATGGAAAGTCAATGCATTGCTGTGTGCAGTGGACACCTATTTTTGTGAACCCTGGGGTGCCAGGGTTCAGGAACATTTAGAAAGATGTGGCTGCCACTGTGCCCAAAGACTAACTGGAGTCTCCCCTCTGTGTATTTCCGTTAGTGCCAGGAAGGGCCTGGCTGTCCCACACCCTCTGTGGGCCACTGAGCATCCCTGTGACCACAGCCTGGCAGACCCTCACAGTGTCCACAGTGCCCCTGACTCAGTTACCTGAGATTGGTCCCCTGCGCTGACTACCTGGTTGGCCTGTAAGGATGCAGAGGGCTTAGCAGGTGTGGGTCTGTGCCCAGGCTCTGGCTGCTCTGTGGTAGAGCCTGCCTAGGTGATGGCTCTCCGTCAGCAGTGACATTGCTGATTGGGCACATAGCTGCTCCCCTGATTAGTGGTGGAGGCCCTCAGGACATTGTCTAAACCTAATTTGTGCCCTCATCTCCCTGGCCCAGTCTCCCAGAGACTACTCCCTGCTCCCTAAGGCCTCTCCCTGCACCCTGGCTGGCCTGCTGGGGATCTGAGCCCCAGGGAGTCTATCTGAGACCCCTCTTGGAGGGACCCCAGTCTGAGCCTCCCTTAGTGAACACCTAGCATGACCCCTGGTGACCTATCTGTACAGTAGTTTGGCAGCTTCTGAAAATGTTGAGCATATATCTTCCAGCAACCCAGCAGTTCCTAGGCGGAGTTGTCCCTCAGTATCTGCAGGGCTTGTGTTCTAGGTACCCCCGGGACACTCAGCTCATCGTCCAAACCCATCAGATTGTGCACTTCAAATCCATGCATTTTCACTGTACGTATAAAACATACTAAGGTAGTATAAATAAAACAGCAAAACTCAGCCTACTTTTATTTATTTACTTTTGATTTTTTTGAGACAGGGTCTTGCCATGGAGTTCAGGCTGGCCTTGAACTCACTATGTAGCCTAGCCTGACCTCAAACTCAAAAATGATTTTCCTGCCTCTCTTTTTAAAAGCTAATTTTCATTCTATTTTAAAATGTTTTTCTCTCAGTATTCCACCACAGGTACCAGGAGAGAACATGTCAAAATTACGTCGGACCCCCAGCCAGGCTTCTTGGAGCGGCTGAGTGAGACCTCGGGGGGCATGTTTGTGGGACTCATGACCTTTTTGCTGTCTTTCTATTTGATTTTCACCAATGAGGTAAGCTGTCAGGTCCCTTATACAGAGTGAAGGTCCCCATAACATCAGGGAATCCTGTCTGGATTTTGCTAGTAAAGGGCCTAGATTTTACAGAGTGGAAAGAACACTGAATTTAATTACAATTTTGTAATGTTGTGATCCATCTCATGACTGACATAAGTAAGAGCAGGAATGGGTTAGTGTGCATACCTGAAAGCCTGCTTCAGGCATGGTTGGATCTGTGTTTATGTCTGGGTAACCTAGAGAGCCTAGAGAATGAGGAGCATCTTCCTAAACCAAGTTGTCAGCGTTGCAGAGAGCTCCAGTGTACTAGTTAAGAGTCTCAGTCCCTTGAGTCAAACTCTGTGATCAAGGTTGGCAAGGTTTGGGGTTGAGAATGTGGGGAAAGTGGCCCAAGGGAGAGAAGGGGTCAGGGTGGGCAGCAGTCCCATCTGAGTCAAACAGGGTGCAGTGCTGAGGCTGGTGGGGGCTGGGCAAGCAGGAATCCTGGGTTCTCGCTCTGAGTCCACACTTGCTGGACCGAAGTTTCCCAGGAGTAAAGGGAGGTAACAGGTTTCACTGCTCCCCAAGGCCTGAGTTGTAAACCTGCTCCCACTCAGGGCCGTGCGCTGAAAACGGCAACCTCACTGGCCGAGGGGTTGTCGTTGGTGGTGACCCCAGACAGCATCCACAGTGTGGCTCCTGAGAATGAGGGCAGGCTGGTGCACATCATCGGGGCGCTTCGGACATCCAAGGTAGGCACGGCAGTGCTGGCAGCCACTGGGGTTTGGATTGGGAGCAGCTATTTGGCCTGTGGGGGGACTTGGACACTGTCACATTGTGTTGGCCTGCTCCTAGGCCCAGCAGCCTGGTCCTTCTCTGAAGTCACCGTGTTAGGTGTTAGGAGTACAGGGCGGGAAGCCTCGCTTGGCCATCTTTCTGGAAGTCTCCATTCTTATCCTCTTCTTTTTATATCTGGTCCACTCTGGTTTTCCTGAGCCAGGGGTTTTGGGCCCATGGCAGCCTTGTCTTGACTTTTGTGTTTGGTTGGATTCTTTTCAAAGCTCTTGTCTGACCCAAACTATGGGGTGCATCTTCCGGCTGTGAAGCTGCGGAGGCATGTGGAGATGTACCAGTGGGTGGAGACGGAAGAGTCCAGGTAAGGCAGGCATCGGAAGTGGAAGTCAGCATGGGACTGGAAGAGCAGTGTTGGGGTCATCTTGTCACTCTGGAATTCAGAGCACAGCATCTTCCTGTCAGAAGACAACCTATTCTTTGAAAGTTCACAACCAGCGACCTTTAATTGGGAGGTGGTGAAAGTCCAATACAGAGTAACAAAGTTGCTCAGAGAAAGGAGAATTGGTCCATTCCCTCCTCTACAGCTGCTCAAGCTTGAGGCATGGCTGGGTTAAGACCTCAGACAACCTTACCCAGACCAGAGTGCCTTCCGCTGCTATTGCTCCTGGAGCAGGCAGGGTAGCTGCCATATGTCCTATTCCTGGTCACCCAGATAGGACACCTGGAGTCTGGAACTGAATGGATGTGGCGGAGAGCCAGGAAAAGGCAGCTTTGGACTCCCCCAGGTTTTCTAGGCATTCAGGTTACAGGGCGACCCAAGCCCAGCAGCTTAGACTGCATGGATGTCACCATGGATTGAGAAAGGGCAGGGCGGCTCTGTTGGGGTGGGAGCATCTGGCACCAGCTGCTGTGTTGTATGGGGACTTGGGGCACCTCTGCTCTGGGGTGGCTTCTGTGTGGAGCTACCTCTGCAAGTGAGGCTGACACAGTGGCTGCCTGTGCCCCATTGCAGGGAGTACACTGAGGACGGGCAGGTGAAGAAGGAGACACGATACTCCTACAGTGAGTGTACCCTGTGGGCACCAGCCCCACATGGGAGGCTATGGGGTGGTTGTGGTGAGATTCCCCAGGCGCTGCCTTGCCCTCTAGGCTGCCTACCCAGCCACACATGCCCCAGCTGAGTTGTCCTCTCCTTCCAGATACCGAGTGGCGATCAGACATCGTCAGCAGTAGGAATTTTGACCGGGAGATTGGCCACAAAAACCCCAGGTACGTGTGGGCCTTGCCAGCTGCTGGCCGGGCCCCAGCCCCCATGTCCACATCTGACTGTATGGGACTGAGTTAGCTTTTCTTCCTGGGGGTGATGTATGGCATAGCTTTGAGACCAAGCCTTGTGCCAGACCCTGGGAACAGAGAGCAAGACCTGACCCTTGCCAACCCCAGACAAGGTCCCCTCAATCAAGCCACTAACTTAAGTCATTGGCAGAGGACTCAGGGGTTTCACATGAACCGTGCAGGGGAAGCATTTTGTTGTCAGTTAGCCTGGTGGGAGGATGAACAAGGAGAGCTTCCTAGAGGCAGGAGACATCTGGCCTGGGCCTTCTTAGGATGTTGGCAGAGGGCCAGTGGAGCCTGCCCATGTATGGTGACGGCGATAGAGTTGTACTGGGAGGGTGTCAGGGTCAATTGAACCTAGAACCAGAAGGGACCATGAAGGGCATCAAGTCCAGGAGAGATTCATCTGGGGCTGGTGGTATGGGACAGGCTGTCAGGTGTGGGCAGGAGGGTCTGAAGCACTGGGACATGGATAGACTGAGGTGCTCAGCCAGGGAGGGTGGACAGCAGTCGGGTGGAGACCCTGACGTACCCTGTATCACACCCACAGTGCCATGGCGGTGGAGTCCTTCACGGCCACTGCCCCCTTTGTCCAGATTGGCAGGTTTTTCCTCTCAGCAGGTAAGCTGGCCTGATACTTGGCCCTAGAGGATGACAGGGATTCATCCCTGAGCTCCTCCAGGGAGCCCACCTGTCCCTGGCCCTGTGTAGAGAAGCCCTCAGGGACAGGCTGGCTCTTTCAACCACAAGGAACCTGGGATCCCAGATGGCCAAAGGGAGGGAGGAGGTGGTGCCCTGGGCTGGCCTGGCCATCCTTTGGCCTCTGATGCTCGAAGGTGCTTGCCACCACGTCCTGCCTAATGGGATTCCCCAGTCCATTTATGGCCATGATCTTAGGGGAAGGACAGGGGGACCAAGGTCATACCCAGACAGGTGGGCATGGGGCAGAGGAATGCCCTGGAAGGCGGAGATTCCCATGGCCAAGCCTCTTGGATGGGTGGGAATGTGTATGGCTGGGGGTCTGCCCCTATGGTGCACTGTTGTTTTGAACACTCCTCCTCTCTCAGGCCTTATAGACAAAATCGACAACTTCAAGCCACTCAGCCTGTCCAAACTGGAGGACCCCCACGTGGACATCATCCGCCGGGGGGACTTTTTCTACCACAGCGAAAACCCCAAGTACCCGGAGGTACGGGAGCAGGCACCACGCCAGCTACACCTTCCTACATACACACAGCTGGGTGACTGGGAGGCTACGGGGGTTTCTGGGCGGCAGCAGGCAAGGTGGAGGCAGGGGAGTGTGAATGTGGGACTGTGGCCAGGCCAGTATACCCACCTCATGCTACCATCCCTCTGCACCCAGGTGGGAGATCTGCGTGTCCATTTTTCCTATGCAGGACTGAGCAGCGACGACCCGGACCTGGGCCCGGCCCATGTGGTAACGTGGCTTCTCTGGGCAGCACTGGCAGTGGGGCTCCTGGTGTCAGGACTGAGACTTGGGGAGAGGGCTGACCACTGCAGGCTCCCTGTGGAGGTGCAGCTCCCACACGCAGTTGTCCTGCACCCCCAGGCTTCTGCAGTCAGCCACAGATCCCAGGCTCAGTGCAGTTCTTGAGGGTCCTCCTAGTGAGTCCTCCCAGTGAGTCCTCCCAATGACATGTGGCTCCCTCCCAGCTCTGGTTTCTGAGCTAAGAGCACTTGGCTTTCGTTCCTCCCCTATCTGGGGCCTTGGCCACCCCATCTGCTGTGTCCTGTCCTGGCCTAGCTTCTGCCCTGTGTCACCCTGGAGTTGTGGATGCTCTAGGACTGGGGACCCCGGGGAAGGAGATCAGTCTGAGGGCTCTTCACTGGTTCATTGGGTCACAAGGACCATGGGTAGAAGTGTTACCCCCGAACACCCCTCAGCTCTGACACGCCTTCCCTGGCCAGGTCACAGTGATCGCCCGGCAGCGGGGTGACCAGCTGGTTCCTTACTCTACCCGGTCAGGGGAGACTTTGCTTCTCTTGCACCATGGTGACTTCTCTGCAGAGGTGAGTTACGCTGCCTGCCTTCCTCCTGAGCCCTGGCCAGGAGAGAACCACAAAGTGGGAGAAGGAAGGGGAGGGAGGGAGTGCAGGACAGCCCTTAGGGAGCTCCCCGTGCAAGGCATGCAGTCACTGGGGAGAACACCGTGGGCAATGCTGTGGGGTCACAAGGCCAGAGCTTCTGATACCATGGGCTTCCCTGGGGTCAGACTGAGGGTTCTAGGGCCCGTCCAAGGAGGGTCCCACATGTGGGTCCCTGGAGAAGTTGGAGCTTACCAGGCGTGCCCACCAAGTGTGTTGTCCTCCAAGGCATCTGGAGGGAAGCAGTGGGGCTTGTGTTGGAACATCCAGCTTGGGTGCCTAAGCCACCACGAGTCCCTTTCCTACCACATGACACCAACACTAAGGAGGGGAATGCAGTGCTCGGCAGGATGTCATGCTCTGTCCTTGCTGTGGTGGACATGGTATCGCTGCAGGCCTTCAAGCTCTGCAGGGTTCCTATCCAGAAGGTGGCAGGGGTCCGCTGTGACCTTTCCCTCATGTGACTGCCACCTGTCATCATTCCTCGTGGTTTCTCAGCCTGCAACACTGCTGCTCCTTGTACCCGACCAGGATGTGCTGTGCCTGGTCACCAAGCTCAGCTACTCAGGGACTTCCTGAGTGGGAGGAGGCCTGGTTAGGCCTGGTCTGTTGCTCCTGAGTCCCTGGCTTCCTGCCTCCTGGTTGGAGCCCCAGGTCTCGCTAGGTCCCAAGAGGGGTGAGGAGCCTATGGCTGAGGGAAGATGGCTGCTGTGGGCCAGGCAGGTGTCCTTACCCCTGGGCCACCTCATTCCCACACACACAGGAGACCTGGGTGCCCTGACTCTAGCACCGGACAGAGCAGGAGGAGCTGTGCTTGCAGTGGGTGAGACTGCACATTCCTTGTTCTCTCAGCTTTGGTTGCCTCCTGCTCAAATGGGAATGTGCTGCCACCCCACTGAGTTACTCTGAGGATTAAATGTTTAAAGGGCATATAAAATGCGTAGGGCAGTGAAAGATAACTATTAAGCAGTGCTGTACATTTTTACTGTAGTGGGTGCAGATCTTGGCAGGAGGGGTACTAGTTAGACTAGGGCAGTGGTGGCAAACCCCTGGCGTGCGTGCCTCTGGGCTGTATCACTGAAAGCTCTGAAAGCTTGGCATCACTGGGCTAGGGTGTCAGAGAAGCTCTGAGGAAACTGTTCCAGCTGAGATGGAGGAATGAGCTGCAGCTCGTTGGGTTGTGCAGTAGTGCAGAGGCCCAGCAGTGGCATCACTTTGGCCTTCTTAATACACACAGCCCAAGGGGCCAGGGTCAGGAGCAAGTCAGAGAGGGTATGCTGTGACCAGCCAGAAGCCCATGTTGTGGTCTCTGAGGGTCAGTGATGGCATGGATTGTCCCTGAGGGACTACGTATTTGCTGAACTGGAGAAGACAGAGAAGCAGGGCAGGCAGAGCTCTGCTGTGAGCAGGATGTGCACAACACTGAATGGGGTGGTTTCAGAGGCAGTGGAGGTGCTGGGGTGCAGGTGATATATAGACAGGAGCAGTCACAGCAGTTGAGTGCTGAAGGGCCAGGAGAGTGTGGGCCAGCAGTGGAGATGGAGAAGGAATGGCCAGGAAGCGTGAAGAGAGCACCAGCCTACAAAGACCCCTCTGTGTGCATGGAGATGGTATGGTGCTGGTGAGGAGGGTTCCTTCTGCGGGCCATGAGCCCAGGCGGTGCTGAGGCTGGCACTTTCCCCAGAGAGTTCCCGTGCTGCGCTGTGCAGCAGCTGGCCCACAGAGGGACTTGGACGGGGCACGGGTTGCCCTTGTCCGGCCTGTTCAGAAGTGGCCATGGCAGGGGCTGGGGGTTTAGCTCAGCGGCATAAGCACCTGCCTTGCAAGCAGGCGGTCGTGAGTTCGATCCCCGGTACCCATAAAAAATGAAAAAGACAAAAAAAAAAAAAAAGTGGCCATGGCTTCAGTCGGCAGTGCCCCTGCCCTGCCCACAGGTAACTGTTGTTTGTTTCCCTACCCTGTAGGAGGTGTTTCACAGAGAACACAGGAGCAACTCCATGAAGACCTGGGGCCTGCGGGCGGCCGGCTGGATGGCCATGTTCATGGGCCTCAATCTCATGACGCGGATCCTCTACACCCTGGGTAGGTGTGGAGGTGGAGCTCGGGGGAGCCCCTCATGCTGTGTCTGGGACTGCTACCTGTCCTGTGAGCTGTCCTGGCCAGAGGGCTACTCCCTGATGCAGAAACTGGGCGTCTGACTCTCTCATAAGTGGGGAAAGCCAGCGTGGCAGCGAAGGGGCCCTTCCATCCATCTGTCCACTTGAACCTTCCTTCCTTCTGCAGTTGAGCAGCCATGGGGAGGAGGCACAGCATGTGGAGTGAGCTAGACTTGGTGGGAGATCTGTCTTGTTGAGCTTTGGATGCCAGGCCCTCCTCAGGCTTCAGTCTTGCTGAAGTTCTAGTCTTCCTTTGCACTACTGCAGTATGTCCAGACAGACTGCAGGGAGGTCTTGGCCATGGGGGTGGAGATGCGGGTTCCTCTGGAGCTTCGGTCCTAGTTGATGTCATATGCTCTGGCCGTGTATGCCCTAGTTCTTCCCTGTATGGGCCTGGCCTGCAGGGCCAGAGGAAATTGCAGCAGGAGGTGTACACACCCTGTTCCATCCTTAATGAGCATCACACACTGCTGAAGCTGGTGCCAAGCAGTGAGCAGGACAGATGAGGCTCACCTGTCTGTTGCCGTACACATGCAGGAGGTGTTTAGGTCTCCCTGGAGTGGGCAGAGGAGTCAGCTTGGGGCGCTCAGCCACACCAGGCAGGGTCAGGACCCCTCTTTCCCTCTAGGCTCCGGAGCCTGCTCAGAGCTGCCCACTTCCCATGGCAGTGCCCCTCTCCTCCCCTGACTGGACAGCCAGGAAGCAGGGGCCTCTCTTAGGTGTGAAGCCAGGGGCTTGGGAACCTTAACCCTTCCTCTCTCTGCAGTGGACTGGTTTCCCGTCTTCCGAGACCTGGTCAACATCGGCCTGAAAGCTTTTGCCTTCTGCATGGCCACCTCGCTGACACTACTGACTGTGGCTGCTGGCTGGCTCTTCTACCGGCCTTGGTGGGCATTCCTCATTGGCTGCCTGGCCTTGGTGCCCATCCTCATTGTCCGGACACGGGTGCCTGCCAAAAAGCTGGAGTGAAGGAAGCCCTAGCATCTGCCTGACCCCTACGGCAGCCTTGGGATCCAGGCCACCCCATGCCGTGGCCCAGCTCCATCTACGAACCTCAGGGGCAGTCTTGGATTCTTGGACTGCACCCACTGCTCTTGAACATGCTTGTCAGGCTTGGTGTTCAGAGGTTTACCCCACCTTCTTTCTTGCTGTAGGCAGCTTTGGACATGGCAGTTCGAGGGCGGTAACCCAATAAGCAGTCTTCCTGGTTGCCCCCATTGTCCTGGGATTATGTGGATGGGGCAGTGATGTTCCAGAGGTCTGCTGGGGGTGGGTCAGCGGTCACTCTGTACTTCTCAAGTGTGAAGACTGCTCGGCCTGTTACATCCATGACCCCAGAGAATAGCCTTTGCCAACACCAGACCTACCACGCACTGGCCTGGGGTGGCAGGTGCACCCAGAGCAGGTCTGTGGACAGAATCCTATTTAGCACTTAACAGTCACTCTTTTTTTTTTTTGTACTAGGGATCAAACTCATGACCTTGTGCTTGCCAGGCAGGTGTTTATGCCACTGAGCTAAATCCCTGGGCCTTAACAGTCACTCTGGATGTCACAATTAGCAGAATGGCACATCTGCTGGCTGTGTATCCCTGTGGTCTCTCCGGGCAAGGCCTTTTCAGCTAGTGAGACCTCCAAAGCCTTATTTATGTTTTTCTTTGGTATTTTGCTTCTACCCCAGGTTTTCATTGGAGACCTAAAAAAACCAAATCTCCTGAGTGATAGACCCCTGACTATTGTAGATGTCAGCCTTGAGTCTGTCCTTTGAGATTAATTCATATCACAGAAAGCTGCCGAACTGGGTGTGACTCAGCTGATGTGAAAGCATGGTACAAAGCTTTGAGCTTTTGGAACAAGTGTCAGCCAAGGGATTTGCTTTCTCTGCTCACCTGATGACGGTTTGAGCTTGCAGTCAGCCACCTGGGATGGGGCTGGAAGCCCCGTACCAAGTGTGTTCCTCCATGCTGACCCAGTTAGCCACATTGTGAACAAGATGAGGCTGGTGCAAGAAGCCTCATGCCTTCGTGCCTTTCATCCTGGGAATGCCGGTCCTCGAGCAGCTGCTTCTGCATGGTTCTTTTGTGTGCTTAGTGTCCATGGGTTGACTCGTCCTACATAAAACCCACCCATACTCAGTTCAGTTCCTGAGCTTTCTAGTTCCTCTTCCACCCCTTAAAGCAGGTTATAACCTTGATGTCTTATGTATGTTTATGCTGTTTTTGATAGCAAGTTGTTTTGTGCTTACCGGGAGTGGTTGGTTTGGTAACATGTGCTTGGTGGCTTTCCTGGAAGGAAAACTTCTGAGCCTGGTGATCCGTAGTACTCTCCCTGTTTGGTTGTCTGCGCTGTGCACAGGAATTCTTCACATTACAACCAGCACCTGGAGGGACTTCTCTGGGCCTGGGACTGAATTATTATCCATGACTGTTTAGTGAATCACCAAACTCTCACCAGATGCTTTTTGAAAACACAAGATAGTACAATTACATGATGGCCAAATCTGAAAAAATTGTTTCTTATATAGATTTTAAACTGCCAATTTCAAAAGTTCAGCCAAATAGTATTAATAATTTGAAGGCTTTGGGAAAACAGTACAAAATTTGTATTATCTTTGTACTTTTGTAAAACTTCAAAATAAATTTCTTAGTATCTCTTGACACAGGAGTTTATCAGTGTGCTGGCTTCGGTGGGGCTATCAACTTTATTAAGTGTATCATTCCATGTATCTCACTTCTAAGTTGCTCTGCATAATTAAGACAGATGTCTTAGTCTTTGTAAAGGATACCTGAGCGCTCTGGGCAATGGGGAGCTTGCTGGTTGTGTGTCTATTTACAGTGCATGACTCATGTCCTAGGCACCGTTAGAATGCACTGGGAGAGGTGGAGGGCCTGGCTTCCATTTGGCACAAGCCCCACCCTGCCAGATTGGCTCACGGTGTCTGCCATATGAGATCTGAGCCTCGGTTCCTTCATCTGTACACTGAGCACAGTGCCTTTACCTCACAAGGTTGTGAGGACTAAAGATTAAGCCCATGAAATGTCTGACCTGTGGTATTTCATTTCTTCTTTTGCTTTTGCAAAAGCCCACTCTGAGGCTGGCAGTGAAATCACTTGCTTTAGCTATAAGCAGGTGTCTTTCCCAAACCTACTTGTGAAGTCTCAAGACAGAAATGCTTCATTTCATTTCCACAGTGCCTCCTAGAAGCCGATCCTGCCTAAAGAGGTTATTTCTTCAGCTAAGGCAATAGCCTCATCTCAAAAGTGTTCACCTCTAGGAGCATGGGCTCAAGCACAGAGTGTGATGTGGTTTCCACAGCAACCCAGCCTGTTTCTCCACCACACAGCCAGCAGTGCTCTGGCTCTGAGTCACTTGCAGGGTTTTATTTGTGTCCCTTGGATAAAAGTGACTCAACACTGTAGTTAAGGACTCTTCTCAAACATTAACATCTCGCCTAAGAAAAAAACTTTCAGGTGTATGAGTTCCTGGCCCGTGTGAAAACATAACTTCATCTTTCCTACCAATATGCTCTTGTTGGCATTCTTAGCTGAGGTAAAATTTGAAAAAAATGTAGAGGCAAGTCTTTAGATAAATGCTTTATTTTTTCTCAAAATGTTATAAAATTATTTATCCTGAACAAAGAGCACATAGAGCTTTGTAAATGTATCTGGTAATAAGTGAAATCTACCTGAACACTGATCCACATATTTATAACATTACTTTAATGCTCAATTAGTTTTCCTTGCCTATGTTACTCTTTGTCCTAGTCTTCTGCTGTGACTTTAGGAAATAGCCCCAGCGCCAATGCCATGATCGAAGGGGGCCTGTACTTTCTCACTTTTCATCTTCTACAAAGAGGCAGAGCTCAGCAGTAGGGACCTGACTTAGGGATTAAGTGATCTGCAGAGAAAGGATCCTAAGGCCCAAGAGAGGCCAAGGTACAGGGTCTGGTCAGTGGAGATGGATAGGTTACCTCCATCCACAAGTTTCCCAGTGCTTTCTATTAAAGAAAACAAATTGATCCCATCTCCAAAGATGGAAAGAACAGGGATTCCAGAGCAGCACCCCCAGCCTGGGGCTTTGGTGAGTAGCCCTGGGGAAACATACAGCAGGAACTCAGTCTGGCCTGAACTGATCCACCTGGAAGCAGGAACACAGGTCACAACTTCTCAAATGGGAACAGATGGCCAGCAGCCTCTTTCTTCGCCTTTCGGGTCCTCCTGGGGCACTTTAGCTTCTGTTCTTCCTCACCTTCTCGGTTCTGAGGCCAGGAGGCAGCTAGGATCCTGGCCGCCTCTGCTTGTGAGCTGGTCCCCTCCTCCTCATCAGACAGCCCATCTCCTGTACCTGTGTGTGAAGCTGATGTATCACTCTGAAGGAGACAGGTGAGAGAAAAGCACAGTCACAGGTAGCTGGTTCCCAGCCACTGAAGCCACTGCTTCACCTGTGCCCTCAGGTGTGGGTACAGTGGTTATGGGTGGGTCCGCCAGGACACACAGTGCTAAACGACCAGAGGCACCCCTGAAGGCAGGGAAAGCTGTGTAGGGTCACAACATGTGACAGCCAGGAGCCCATGAGACAAAACCAGACCAAGGGGCTTAAAGTGAAGAGCATGACAGAAGCATTCTGTTATAAGGGCACATAGTGGGTTGAGGTGGAGCCTCAATATCACAGGGTACTTCTGGGTTCACATTACTACCTTGGGATCTGTCTGTTTCAGATGGAGCCCTTAAGGGCTGTCACATTCATATCTGTGAGGGCAGCCTGGCCTGCTATATGCAGGTTCTGTGAGAGGTGACCTGAGTGGGGACACAGGCCTGAGGGTGGCTGCAGGCAGGGTGATCCCAGAGCTAAGAGTGACGCTGTCTACGCCTTCATGTCAGAACCTGGGCAGTAACTGTCTTGCCACTGTTCCCGTGAAGGCTGCACTGACCTGGGCCCCATAGCGCAGTCGTAGCCTCTCCCTGATGAGCAGCCCCCGAGCCAGCAGTTTCCAGTTCCCCAGAGCCCGCTTCTCACGTTTCTGCAGCAGGAAGGAAGCAGGAGGACACGTTAAGCACTGGTATCATCAGGAAGTGTCAAGATGGAGCTCGAGAATATCTACAGAACCATGCAGGTTCAGATGGGAACATACGGTCTTGGTTACACCCAGTTGCATTTTTAAAAACTGGTGTGATTTACAAAATCACCTGAAAGCCACCAATATAAAACCCTCTATTTTTATTGGATAGGGTCACTAGGCCCTGGACTGAGGAAGGAAAGCAGGTGCTACCATTCCTGGAGCGGGGGCCTAGGCTCAGGGGCTGGGAGAATGCAGAGCACATGGCCTCTGCCACCTCCTCTCCCTGGCCCAAGACTAGCCAGGGAGGGAAGTGCATCCTCAGGTCCTCCCTACCCATCCTCCTCCTCCTTCCCCTGATTACTTACGAGCCTCGTTTTCCTGGCTCCTCCCCACCGCTCACCTCCTTCTCTTTCTTCTCAATGAGGGCCTGCTCATTCTCCCAGGCAGTCAGAAGCACATCTCTGAACTCTTCGCAGACAACGTAGCCATCGGTTCTGTGGGGCAAGACACAATGACCTCTCCTGAGCCTGCTGCCTGCCTGTCCCATCCTCTTCTTGGAGATAGGGGTCCCCTTCAGAGCACTTAGGGCCTGCGTGGGTATACTGGGCCAAGTGGGACAGCCAATCTGGCAGGAGTAGGGGCCCTTGCCACCTCTCCTCTCCAGCCTGCTTGAGAGCCAGAAGCCTCGTCTGCAGCACTGCCCACAGGACATAGCTTAGAAACCAGAAAGGACACGGTCACCACCTGTGGCCACTCAAGGAAGAGTCTGCATCCAGCATTCCTAGGGCACTGGATTCAGTGCTGTTATGACTCTGGATGGGAGCCAGGGTTGGTCAAGGTCTATAGTAGCCTGTACTTATTGGAAGCCTGCCTTCAGATCTCTCAGGCCTTGACACAGGAGCCCCTGGCCCCAGATCTCACGCACACAGCATGGCAGTAGCCACCATGGAAGTCGAAGCCCGTGACAGCTGGGGCGCAGTCAATGTCCAACTTGCGGGCTACACGATGCAGATTGGGCAGGTGCAGCTGTACACAGCCAACGGGCATCATGCTGGGCAGGAAGAGGTACACGTTCCCAAACTCATTCCGTGGCACCTGGGAGGGACAGTGGGATGTGACCAGCTTGGCAGAGTGGGTCCAATCCCCACCACTCCAATATGCCCTACCTTCCCATCCACGGCCACAGGGGGCTGGTACTCTTCTGTCTGCCAGTGCCCAAACAGGCCCAGGTCATTTTGGTCCTGCAGCTGAGGGTTGGCGAGCCGGGCCTTGCGGGCACGGTTGGAGTAGCCTTTCACCATCTGTCCAAGTACACAAACATGATTCACAAGGAGGCCCTGAGTCCTGACACCCATGTCACCAAGCTGGAGCACCTCACTTAACCCTGATGACGTGCCTGTGAGAGGGGTGGCACCTGCTCACTATGATCTCTAGCAACAGGCATTGATAAGAGTGCTGTTCTTAATAAATCCATCAAGTCAGGTCAGCTGCACAGGGTGAAGACTGCTCTGGAGTCACAGCCTATGAAACAGGCCTAACTCAATTGCTGAGGGACGAAGCTGGATTCAGCTGTCACCCACTCAAGGAAACAAGACCTGCACATGACAAAAGCCAGGATTCACACCCAGGCACCAGTTTCTCCCACCAACCCCATACTGCCTGGGACCTTGGCTTGCTCCCCAGCAGCCACAGGGGCCGCAGTCTGGCGCCTGGGCCTGGTACAAGCTTTCTCCAGTGCATTCTTTCCCTCTTTACAACCTTTCATATTAGTCCACTGAGACCAGATCAGAGCCCCACTGCAGTAGGACCCGTTTGAGACATCTGTGAGCTACAAGGCAGGAAACCTGGTTCTGAGGAAGCCCCTCATCCACTGAGTGGCCCAGACACACCATGCCATGCCAGCCATGAGTGGCGGACAGGAGGTATGAGAAGCATGGGGCAGAAGGAAGCCTCGGGCCTCTGAACACAGACTGACGTGGAAAAGGATAGCGCTCCAGCCTCGCTAGCGTCTCATGTGGAGGATGCTTCATGGGGCAGGCTGTGCAGGTGGTGCCAGAAAGATCAGCACAACTACAGAACCAGAAGACTCACCCTGGAAAGGGCACTGAGGACAAGGCAGGAGCCGGAACAGAGTCACAACAAAGAATAGATCTAAGCGACCTGGAGTTATTCTAGAGCTGTGATGACAACTGTGGTCACACGGGGCTGACTAGTGGGCAGTGTGACCAACATGCACTGAAACACTGATGGCAACATGAAGTCAAGATATTTAATATGAGCAAATGTATTTAGAATACCTCAGTCATTTTTTACAACACTTCCCATGCAACCTTCTGGATAGGGCAGAACGACACTAGTCTAGGTGAAGCGATCGCTGCTGCTGGGTAGTGGCTCGCTGCACAGTGCAGAGCAGCTGGCCGACAGGGATGTGGAGGAGGGTCTCAGCTAGCTGACTGGGATTGTGGGGGAGGGAGGGCCTCAGGAGGACTGACAGGGATGTGGAGGAGAGAGGGTCTCAGGTGCAGCAGGTGGCACCACACACTTGGCACTCCCTCCCCCTACTACCTCAGACTGAGGCCCTCTGCCCCTCAACTCCCCAGTGTCAAACAACCCCACAGTACACATCTCTGGGACCAGCCATGCCCTGCTGGCCTAACCAAGTCCAGTGTCCTGAGAAAGTGTCCTGGCACCACAGTAATGTCTCATGGGCTGCCCACCTAACAGACTGCATCACGCCTGGAAGGAGTAATGCCTGCTGGGCTCTACCAGAGGCCCAGACAATCATTTTCCGTCTGAGCTCTGGTCTCTGCATCATGATCCAGTCCTCCAGTGCCGAGATCCCAGAAATCACATACGTGCACATTTGTGGTAAACGGCAACATGGAGGCACCTGAATGGGGAATGTCTGTGCAACACACGTGAGCCTCGCACAACCACCCAGCACTGCGGTGCCAACTGTGCTCCCAGTAGAAGCTGCAGGTCATACTCTGGTCTCCATTTCTTGCATATTTTGGGAGGTCCATAAGATCATTTAAATGCCTGCTTACGCTTAAATCTTGCTCAAGCCAAAGCAAGGCACTGCTAGCTTTCTGTTGCAAGCATGTGCCTACAGCCCGTGCCACCCTCCCTGCCCAGCTCTGTCACCTAGCTGCCATGCCATGCTGTTACCTTGTAGGGCACCTCGCCAAGCCGCACCACTCTTGCCTGTTTCAGCCATGTGTCCCTGGAGTGCAGGGTATGCACACAATCCCTGAAGAAGGCAACACAGGGAGATAAAAGATGAACTCAGCCCACACCCAACCTATAAGCAAGCAGGACCTCCAGCCTCCTGTGACTTGTGGCAGAGGGATCAGCAAGCCTTGGTGACCCCCACCCCCTAGCTTTGCCTTGCATCCTAGGACAGACCCTGCTTCTAAGACACCCAGAGGAGCTGTGTCCACTACAATTCCCACCTCATGTAGAGCACCTCTGAGGCCCAGACCACCTGTCCCTTTCCCGGTCTCCCTCTCCTCAGCCCCCTGGAGCCCCCAAGAAGAGCTCCCTCTGCAGCCTGTGGCAGTGAGGAAAACCAATGCCCCCAAGCAGTGCCCACTGAGGTTCTGATCCACTGCTAACTACCACGTCAGGGATAACTGGCAGGGGTAAAAGAAGATGCCTTGACACTCACTCTGACAGGCTAGCAAACCTCCACAGGATAAAGATGCATGCACACAGAGCAGGCAATGACTCGCAGTCATGGTGATCACAGGCAGAGATTCACTGGTTCTCTCTTCTAAGCTAAGTCATGCCGCACCCTTGCAAGTCTATTCTGTGGTGGGGCTCTGCTCTGCAGCGCTGTGCCAGGCCCCACTCTTCCTCAGTCTGTACCCCAGCCTTCTGGGGGAGGCACTCAGCGAACAAGAGGTCAAGCACACTTTGGAGTGCAGGCACAGGCCAGGTCAGCAGGCAGCCAAACTGAAATGCAGCATTTCATGACGACAGGATGGAATTCGGTCTGTGCCGCCTCTCACTGGGTGCCCTTCAAGCCTCCTCTTATGTTCACTGACCAATGAAGGATAATAAGCCCTGTCCTTTCCACCTCTCATTGCTGCCAGGAGACCCCAATGCTGTTCCATGGCAGACTCAGGTCTCTCTATCAGCATCATCCCTGAGTCTGAGTGTGAAAACTTTACTTTATGCTGACCTACCCTGAACATCCCTGAATCCCAAAGGACTGCTGAAGCCACAGTTGTAGTCCTTAGACAAGAGACAGAGGGCAGGGCAGGTCTGACAGTTGAGTAGCCTCCATGTTTCTGAGGCACACAGGGCCTTATATATTACCTTATAAAATATAAGGTACAAAATATAAGGAACACAACCCTCTCAGAACCAGTGTCCACATCTGGCCCCTGCACATCCAGCTACACAAACAAGCAAGCGTCATTGTGGGCGAAGACCACATGCACTTCTGCAAGAATATAAACAGCAGAGCTACGATGGAAGTGGCACAGCAGTTCTTCAAAATGTGAAACAGAACCGTCTCTGACCTGGACACTGTATTTCCCAAAAGAACTAAAAGCAGATTCCAACAACATTCACATGGCACTGTCCACAACCCAAAGGTGTAAGAGCCAAGGGTCATCCCTTAAGGGTAAACAGTGAGGTCTTCGGGAGGAAACAAACTTTGACACATGTTACAGCACGGGTGGAACCTGGAGGAATGGCTGAAAGCTCTGCAATTCCATGTGGGAGGCCACAAGGGCGGTCAAGCTCAGACCAGAGTAAACTGGTGGAGCAGGAGCTTCGAGGGGTGGGACGCGGTCAGGATTGCCTCTGGGAGGGTGAAGATCTTCTGGAGATGGCAGTCCCAGCTGCACGCATGAATGTTCCAGCGCCACGAAGCTGTACATGGTAAAAATGGTGAAGCCAGTGGCTGGGAATTTTACTCAATGGCATAACCGCCTGCTTGGCAAGCGCAAGATCGCGAGTTTGATCCTTGGTATAAAAAAAAAAAAAAGATATCAAAGAAAAAAGATACCAAAAAAATGGTAAAGCTTACATTTTGCCACAGTAGCAAATCACTGTCTACCCCAATGTGTTCTGTCATTCACGTGGTACCTTCCAACTTCTTCTAGCTATTTCTCGAAAAGCCATCTATTTTTATATACACTTATCTCAAAATTATATTACAATTTTTTAGTTTTAATTTTGTACATATTTTACTCTCCTCTCTTATCCCCCCAAATCCTAGGGACTGAATCCAGGGCGTTAGCACTGAGCTAAATCCCCAGGCTTGCTAAACTTATAATCCTATCTCAGTCTCCCAGAGAGCTGGGATTACAGGTGTGCACCACAACATCCAACTCGTTTTTCTCTTATTCTTTTCTTTTTTGGTGATTACTTTTTCCTATGCTGTAACCATTTTTAAGTGTTCAATTCAGGAGCATTAAATACACTGGCAATGCTTTACAACCATTGGCATTGTTTTCAGAACTTTCCATTACTCCCAAAACTCAATACAAGGGGCACTCATTCTAACTGTAACAGTGTATCGTGAGCCACACTTAGGCAGCACATTACATACTGACTATCCTGTTCCTTGCAGGTGTCAATTCTGTATGAGATACAGAATTGTATCTCAACGCTAGTAGTTGTTTTTATATTTCCAGTTATATTACCTTATAAAATTAATGAAAAAAGAACAAGTTTTGGTCATTCTGTATTTAAATAATTGGGCTGGTGAGTGGTTAGCTAACTTCTGTAATCAAATTCTTCACTTTTTCATTTTGGTATGTTAACTTGTATTTGATGGGTGTGTTTTCTGCTGTCTTATATTTTTTACCTGTCCTACTTTGTCATCTGCAGTGCTGGCAGGAAGCCCAGGGTTTCACGCATGACTAGCCCTACCGGTCCCACCTTTCACTCTGCACCATCTCTGCTCTTGCCTTCATGATATACACATGACAGCTTGCCCATGAGTGTTGCTCATGAGGAGTCAAGGTGAGCCCATGCAGCCTGCCAGCCTGGGTCTGGCCCAGGAAGATGCTGAATCCAGCTGGCCATATGGAGCGTTGCACACACCTGGAGTAGACAGCTTCACCACGGCAGTACCCCAGCACTGCTGCTGTCTCGGGGTAGATGGCCTCGTACTTCAGGAGGTGTCGTTTCAGGGCGTAAAGAGGGTGGTTCTTATAGGTGCCAATGGCAGAAGGCAGAGGTTGGTCCAGGTGTTTTGCCTGAAACTGAGAAGATTGGACAGGCTGAGCATCAAGAGTGGGGAACTCTGAGGCGATGACCTTAATCCCATTTGCTCTAGCCACATGTGGCAAGCCAAGGTTTCTGAGCACTGAGGAATAATGTTGCACATAGAGCACTGGACATGGGGTAGCTGAGAATAACCAAAAGCTACGAAGAACTATGTGAATTAAGAAAGTCATCTGGCTGATCTCCAACCCTCAGACTCCTTAATCAGCCTGGCAGATGGCTCTGGTGGAGATTTTAAAGAAAGCAGGCCACAAGGGAGTGAGAAGGTGTTTTCAGTGAAGTTGCCTGGCAGGTCAATGTTTCCACCATGCACTCTCACAGGATGTGCAAATGTGTGCAGCACAACCCAGAGAGCTCTTCTCTAAGGGTTCTGCATCTTGGTGGGCATCTGTATGGCTGACACATTGTGTCAACCTGCGAAGTTTAGAAGTTTAACTAAGACACTGAGTAGGGAGCCAGGATCCTTTGTAAATATCCTTATCCTGTGCAAGAGGAGGGAACCGAGATTTTGTCAATGTTACATCTGCCCTGGGAGGCAAGGAGTGGCTTGCATACAAAATATAAGGGAGCAGAAGAGGCTTATTCTTCCTACTTTTGCACTGGCTGCTTTTGCTGCCTGTTGCCTTGAAGTGTTGTCCTGGTACCATGCTACCCTGCCTTGGAGCCAAATGGTTATAGACTGAAACCTCCACAAAATGTAAGCTACATAAACCTTTCCTTCCTTCATTTGGGGCACTGGGTATTTTGTCCCAGCAATGAAAAAAGTAATCAAGACAGCATCCACACCTCCATTACCCACACCTGTTCCCCAAGCTCTCCTGGAAAGGTCAATAGGAATAAGGCCTAGCTTTTGCAATGAGCCACTGCCAACACCTGCATTGTTTGGAAACCAGGCAGTTTCTGTCTAACCTGTCACTACTAAGAGGACCAGGCCATGCCAGAGCAAAGCTCATGTGTGGTGAAGTATATTGCCACAGGCACTGCTCTGTGTGCCCACACAGGAACACAAGCTCCACCCACATGTAGCTGCCCTGTGCAAGCAGCTCATGTCCTTGTCTGGCTAACTGGCAGCTCTTGACTGGTGACACAGCTTTTATGTGCTCAAGTCCTGCTTCCTGATGGGTCCCCTCAACAGACCAACAGGACTCATTCCAGACCCCTCTTTACCAGGAGACAAGTGTCTGTCCATGCACAAAGGCAAAGGGGCAGCCACATAAGGACAGTTATTCCTTCTTTCATGTGCTACGAGTTACATGATTTCTATAAATTTCTTTTTTTCAGTACTCATGATGAAATCCAGGGGCACTTTACCACTGAGCCACATCTTCAGTTTTTTTTATTTTTTCCTTTTGAAACCAGTCTTGCTATGTAGTCAAGGCTGGTTTCAAACTTGTGATCCTCCTTGCCTCAGCTGCCCCAATAGGATTACATGTGGAATTACCTGGCTGACTTGCATGAATTAAAGTTCCAAATTCAAAACTGGACAACTTAAAGCACAGACTTCAAAGCCACATAGAGCAAGGTTCAAATACTTGGTCACTTAGTAGTTCAGCTCTGCCAGTATTTCCAGTAACATTAAGGCAACAGTAATGCAGCTTTGTAACATCACTGTGATAGTTCAGGAGGGGGCACACAGTGCTGGGGACACATGGCATTCAAAAATGGAAAGAATCTTATAATCTCACTGAGTCTTGCCTGGTCTTACCTCTAAGTCTTCCTTCTTTTCCCTTTCCACAAATGGGCTCTGGTAGGGTCTCAAAGTCTCGTCCCACCACTCCGCATCAACCCGGCACTTGCGGGTGGCTGTCATCCAGGCTGGGTCATATCGCTGAGTAACGTCTCGGACCCAGCCATTGCTGTCAATGCCCACGACATAGGTCACGGGCTTGGTGGTGTATCTGTAACAGGCCCGGGGCTGGCCCACCACCCCGTGCACACAGTCCACACACAGCCACTTTGCCTCCTTCTCACAGAACACCTCCAGCCACTGGTCTACACCAGCTGCTTTCCCTCCTGCTTCTTCATCATCCTGGGACACTTTCTTGCTTCTCTTGTTGCCCAGAGAGCTGGAAGATGCTGGGTGCTGGCGACGGCTCCCTGGATGGGTCCTGGAGTCATTCTTGGAGCCAGCCTTCTTCAACTGTGGAGCAGAGGGCCTCCTCTGCCTGGGAGGGGCAGGTTCAGAGCTCTCATCAGAGGAACAATGGGCTTCCTCACTGGAAGGCTCAAAGTCAGAGCTGCTGGCAGCTGGGTCGCTCCCACTCTCCACTTTGTAAGACACCCTAGGAGTCCTACGCTGGGCACGACTATGCCGGAGCTGCTGAGGCTGCTGCTTGCTGGGCCCAGCCGCCTCACCCTCACTGGAAGAGGGCTCTCTGTGCTTTGTGCGGCCTGTGGTTGCTGTTCTCCTCCCTTTGGTGCCTGCTTTGTTCTTCGGAAAGGCTTTTCCCTGTCTGGTTCCTTTGCTAGTCTGCAGTGTGGGCTGGTTTTCTGGAACTTGACTAGAAGTTCCTGCGGCATCTCCAGAATCCTCTGTGGCTTTATCCTTAGGAAGTTTCTTTCTCTTAAGCAGAAAAACAAAACTATTTTTTTTTTTTTTTTTTTGCAAATTGTACTTCAGAGCCTGTAATTTAACAGGGGGAAGTGACAGGCTAGAGAATCACCACCCCAGGCTGCCTGTCACCCAGGTTCTGCTGGCTCCCCTGTAGGATAGGGTCAGTTATGTATCAGCTAAAGTCTGGCCTCAGATGAGGCCATAATACCGTTCCTTTTCAAAGAATTAAGAAAGACATAAATCTGGGTCTGAATTCCTGTTCTCTCTCATTTGTTACTGATGTAGGCAAATTATCTTCTGAGTTTAAACTTCCCCAGGAAAACGAATACTCATCTTGCACATGTGCATTATACAAACAAAAACTTAGGAGCCCATTTCAGCTGTGGTTTTAAGAGTACAGCAATTATTAAAATCAACCTCTGCACTGCTGGGCTTCAAACAAAGTCCACCTGAATGAGACAACACTGGGTCTCCTTCCTGGAGTGCCCACCTCTCATTTCACCCTGCCGATAAGGATGGGGTGATTGTGCCAGCTCACAGAACAAAACTGCAGCACCCAGAGAGTCAGACCTCCCATGGGCTAAGTGCACAGCCAAACTTGGGGTACTGCACACCCACTCGTGTCTGCTGCCCCCTCTACCTCAGGGTAGGAACAAGCCAAGTTCCAAAGAACTCAGGCTCTGTGAATGCAACTCTTATAAGTAAACATCCTCAAAAATATGGCAGCAACCAAATACTTTTTAAACTTGGTGATTTTTATTGTTTCCTGATCAACTGGCCTTTTCCTGGAAGCCCTGAGAGCCTCACCTTGTCCACAGAGGGCTTCAGAGGAAGGGGCTGCAGAGACAGTACCAGTCGGGTCAGGAGCTGCAAGGCACGCAGCATCAGCAGGAACATCTATGAAGAAAAGGCAAGGCACGTTTACCCAAGCAAGCAGGGAAGGACTTGCTTAATTTTGCTGGCTGCTTATTTGCAACAGGGAAACAGAAAAGGTCAAAACAACCAAACTGTCTTGACCACTAGACATGGAAACTTTGACAGTTAGAAATGATGCTGAGATTATCTTTACAGAAAAATGGAAAACATTCACTATATTGAAAGAAAAGAGAAGTTTAAAAAATAGGATGTGATTCAACAGCACTGGTCATTAGAGAAATGCAAATTAAAACAACAATGAGATTTCACTTCACTCCAGAAAGAATAGCTACTATTAAGAAATTAACCAAAAAGAAATGCCGGAGGGACTGTGGGAGAAAAAGGAACCTTTCTCCATTGTCAATGGGAGTGTAGACTGGTATAACCACTGTGGAAATCAGTGTGGAAAGTCCTCAAAACACTAGGATTGGAGGTGCCATTCAACCCAGCTCTTCCCCATCTAAGTATCTTCCCAAAAGAATTAAAAACATTATACCACAGTAATGTATGTGCACCCATGTTTATAGCAGCACAGTGTGTAATAGCCAGATCTTGGAAATAACCTAAGTGTCCATCAACTGAGAATGGATAAAAGAAGATGTAGTATTTCTACATAATGGAGTACTACTCAGCCATAAAGAATGATAAACTGGATATTTGTAGAGGTAAATGGATGCACCTTGACAGCATGCTTATTAGTGAAATTAATGTCACGTGTGTATAAACATTGTATTGTTTCATCAGTATGATAAGGAAAAAACATGCATTTTGTTCCAGAGATAATGGCTTCAGCCAAGCAAGGACTTAGGCTATACCTATCTTTACTTTAACTAAACCACTGTGAGCCATATGGAGTTGACTTTTGGATGTCTTAGGAAATTTCTGATGTGCTTAAGGTTTGGGTTTTTTGCATGTGGATATCCAGTTGTCCCAGTATATTTATTGAAGGTATAATCCTTTTTCCACTTAATTGCTTTTGTATCTTTGCCAAAAATCAATTTTCTATTTTGTGTATCTATTTTGGGACTTTGTGTATCTATTTTAGTACTTTGGTGGTTTGTCTGTCTCAATATCATGCCATTTTGTCATGATTTGGTGTAACTTTGTATGTTGTGGGATTTGGGAGGGTTGGAGCTCTAATTTTGTTCCTTTATCAAAGTTGTTTAGACTATTTTGAATCTTTGCTATTTTTACACAAATGTATGAATCAAAATGTTAATCTTTATGAAAAATGATGTTGGCAGTTTGAAAAAAGCAATGTATTAATGTCATTTCACATACCTTTTACATTTTACCTTCACATATTTATATATGTGTATTCCAGCTTTTCAACTAGACTAATAAGTTCCTTGAGGACAAGTACTATATTTCATTACAAAACATATTCAATAAAATTATAAAAAGAAAAAATAGGATGTGATCAAAATTTTGTAAGAAAAATCATGTATGAATACAGACATGTATATCTGAAAAAGCATCCATATGCTGTTATAGGTGTTTACATTGAACACGTAATTAAAAGAAAATACAATGAAATGTCACTTTGGAGGGAAACGCAGGAAATATCAGTATCATCAAATCACATGTGTTCTCTGCTTTCTACTTTCCTCACATAACCCTTTCTTTCCCTTAGAAGCTGCAGCTGGTAAGGATAGGTGCCTCCTTGGGGTCTGGACCTCCACATAGCAAAAGTGATGACGTGCTCCCCACACGGGCCCGACCATGCTCATCACTCACTCTATGTAATAGCTTTGATCCCTCAAGCCTCTTTGTGTTTGGAGGGTCACCGGACTGCAGGGCTGCATCCACAGATGAGGTCATGGCTGAACACACAGTGTTAGGCGATGGGGTCTGGATGGAGGTTGTCACTGTGTGTGGTCTGAGAAGCTATCTGTCCTTGTTCCTGCTTTTCCCTTCCCTGTTTCCTGGCTGCTATGGATTGAGCACCTTCTCCTCCAACAGGCCCCTCTGCCATCCTGTTCCTGCCTTGGAGCCAGCTGACCATGGGCTGAAACCATAAGCCAAATAAATCTCTCCTCTTAAGTTTCAGGTATTTTGTCCCAGCAACTGGAAAGCTAACATACTATGATACCCTAGAAAGAAAGAGGTAAAAATCAGAAAAAGGGATGCTGGTTAGAAGCCATGTTATAATTTGAGAAATAATTCTTTTGGGTTTTTTCTGGAGTCACAAAGTACGAAGGTCATACCAAAGGGAAGGAAATATCAAAAAAGCATCATAACCTGAAGAACACTAGGGTCACATGGCCACTACATGTAACACAAGTCCTGAAACAGAAAAGAAACACCACAGGAAACACAGGCAGTCTAACTGATGTCTACAGTCTGATACTGTCACACCAACAGTAATGTCTCTGCTTCTTAGAGCACAGGTTGAGCATCTGGGTAGCTGCGTATCAGCCACCAGCTGAGTAAAACAGACTGTATCACCTATCATTACCCATGCCTTGTCTTCTTTCCTGGATTAGGAGGAGGACCTAAGAGATAGGATGACAGTACTCTGGAAACAGTCTGCTGCTGCCTAAGCTCTGACGGTCATCACCTTTAACAAGCAGTCTAGTGGCGTGCATTGCTGAGGGGAAAAACATCAGGTAAAGAAACCATATAATCCTTGTGCTGATAGATTAAGATAATCTAGGATGAAAAAGAACTTTCTAGAACCATAACATTTTCCAAATATATCTCAAGGAGAAAGAGAAATCTGAACAGATTTCTAACAGTAGACTAAATCAGAAATGAAAAAGTTCCCAACACAGAAAAATCCAGACCACATAACTTCACTGTTGAGTTCCAACAAACATTTAAAGAAGAATCAACATCAACCTTTCAAGAACTCCTCCAAACAGAAGAGGGAACATTTTCTAACTCATTCCATAATGCATCATTATTCTGTTACCAAAGCCAGATAAAGACAATGTAAGAAAACAACAGACCAATGTAACTGATGAATTTAGATGCAAAACCCCTCATTGAATTACCAGCAAACCAAATCCAACAACACGGTAAAAGGAGTAGGAACAAGTGGGACTTCCGGGGATGCAAAGGTGGTTCAATATGGATAGGTGGAAAACCTATCCATATAATGTATCACACTGCTAGAACAAAAGGAGGAAAAACTATAGGTCACCTCAGTTAACACACAAGCAGCACTTGACAAAATCCAACATGCTTTCATGACACAAACATTCAGAAACTAGGAGTGGAGGGGAACTTTTTCAACACGGTAAGGGACTTTGATGAAACCACAATGGTGAAAGATTGAACATTTCCCCCATCTTAGCTTGGGAACAAAGCAAAGATTTCAGTGAAGTCCTCGCTGGAGCAATTAAGCAAGAAAAAGAGACAAAAGGCACGCAAAATGCAAAAGAAGTAGTAAAATTATGCTTATTCACAGATGACACGATCCTACACACAGGAAATTCCAAAGAATGAGCACTGTGAGTGCAAGGGTAAGAAAATATTCAGTTATCTTTCCAGAGGGTAGAGGTGTGGCTCATAGTAGAGTGCACATTTAACATGTGAGGCCATGCGTTTGAACCCTAGAATCAAAAAACAAAAATAAAACAAAACACTAAAACAGAAGCAAACAAACAAAAAACACAAAAGGAAAAATTTGTTAAAAATTTTCTCTACATACCTGCAATGAATGATCTAAAAAAGAAATTAAAACACAGTATCATTTACAACAGCATCAGAAAGAATAAAATACTCAGGAAAAAACACAACTAAGGAGGTGAAAGCTATGTACACTGCAAACTATAAAATATAGCTGAAAGAAATTAAAGACACAAATACAGGGAATGATATCATGTTTATGAACTGGCAAACAACACAGCTATTTCTCATTTAATGACCTGTTTAACATCTGTTCAAATTTACAACTGAAGCACACTGCCACTCAGATTTACAACTTGATTTTTGGTGGAGGCAAGGTACAGTTCTGTACATTTTGTTTATGAAGCCTCAATTTTTTTTTTTGGTACAGTACACCTTGTTGATACAACACTATAATCTTTGCTAATTGTAGTATATAGTACAGTACAGTCTTGTAGTTTTATGTTGTTATATATTACAGTACTGCATGGGAGAATTATATAAATAAAAGCAAGTTTGGGCTTTCTTTTGATCATTTCTTTGCTCTGAATATTGTAATGTACATACTATGTAAAATTCCTCACTCGGTAACCATTTCATTTAATGACCTAGCCACAGGACACTCTGTCATTAAATGAGGACCGTCTATACCAGCCAGACAGCAAAGCTGCCCAAATCAATCCAGACTCAATGCAATCACTATCAGAACTCCATCAGTTGTTATTACAGAAATAAAAATGCAGACTATCAAATTCATGTGGAACTCCAAAGGAACCATACAGCCAAAGCAGTACTGACCAGGAAAGATAAGAGTATTCAAAGCTACAATATCAAAACAATGCAGTGCTGGCATAAAAAAAGAGAACAGACCAACGGGACATACCCAGAGGACAGATAGGAACCCAAGTGATATTCAACAAGAGTGCCAAGAGCACCAATCTCACTGAGAAACTAGACTCTGTAATCAACTGTCTTAGTTACTTTTCTCATTGCTGAGACAAATCCCCAACACCCAGAGTTAATGGAAGGAAGATTTAGTTAGCTCACGGTTTGTAGAGGTTTCAGTGCATAATCCATTGGCTCCAAGGCAGGATGGTGTGGCATCACAGGGGAGAAACAGTTCATGGCAGGTCAAAGGCAGCAAAGCAGTGAAGCAGCAAAGCAGCAGCAGCAGCAACAAACGACCCTTACTTAGTGCAGGTAGCATACAAACCCCCTAATGGACCAATTTAGTCATCCAATATTCTTCATCTCAGCATCACACACTCCAGATCCAGCCACCTCTAAAAAGACCCACCTATAAACACATAAGGCTTTGGGGAGACATCTAGATACATGCCATAATACCAAGCATGACAATAATCCAATAAACAGCCAAAACAAAGGTCTCTTCAACAGAGAGTGCTGGGACAACTAGATTTCCACTTGAAAGGATTTCTAGGGAAAACATATAGGTGTCAATCTTTATAACTTTGCATTTGCCAGTGAATTCTTAGATATGACATCAAAAGCACAAACAACAAAATAAAGGTAGGTAAGTAGGACTTTGTTAAAACAAAAACCTCTTGTATATCGAAGGGCTTCAAGAAAGACAACCTCTAGAATAGGAGGAGACATCTGTGAAGCAGCAAGAGGGCTGTGTAGGGAGCTCTCGCACTTCAACAATCCGGCAACCTAGCAAGGGCCCAACAAAACAGCAGCAAAAAAAAGAGTAGCAATGGCCTGCAGAGAAATCTCCGCACAGTAGATACACAGCTGACAGCCCACAAAGGACACGAATCCTCACGTCAGGGGAATGCAATCAGAATCAAAAGGCATATATACCACCAACACTCACTGAAGAGCTGGAACCAAAATCGCAGACCGTAAGGAGTGTGGCAAGGATGTAGAGGACGGGAACTCTCGCTCACTGCTGGTGGATATTATGGAGCAGCAGTTGCAGCGAACAGTGTGGTGGCTCCTCAGAAAGTTTAACAGACATGTGTCACATGGCCCAGCATTTCTCAGGTTTATTCTCAAATGGACTGAAAGCAGGGACTCATAAATGTACATGTAGACATGCACTCTTCACAAGAGCAAAGAGGTGGAAACCACCCAAGGTGCCCATGAATTGATAAACAAAATGTAATATATACATGCACTAAAATGTTATTCAGTCATAAACAGGAGTGAAACACTGATACACTGCAGATGACCCCTGAAGCCATTATATGAAATGAAAGACAAAAAGTCACAAGTTATATGATTTATTTTATATGAAATACCTAGATTAGGAAAATCCAGAGACAGGAAGCAGACTGCCTAGTGCTTGCCACACAAGGCAGGAGGAAAGGGATGGTGATAAAGGTGTGTTTCATAGGTATACATGAGGCTTCTCTAGGGATGACACAAATGTTTTTAGAGATAGAAGTGGTGGTTTCACCATTCTGACTATACTAAATAGTCACTAAATTTGCTCCCTTTTAAAAAATCTGTAAGATCCCACTTTTGCATATTTAAAAAAAAAAGAGACAACAAATAATGTATGTATATGAACACATAAGAATAAACTCAGGAAGACAAATGTAAATCTTAACGGCTTTCTCTGGGTGGTTATATCACAGCACTGATGAGTGGCCTTGGAGATACCTTAGACTCTTCAAAGTGGAGTCAGGAGAATACCAAGACACTGCTCATTTGACCCTGACATACATAAGAAGTCTGGTCTCTATCCAAGCAGGGAATCTGGGGATACTAAATGTCAGTATACAAATCAAATGGATCTCTCAGGAATAAAAGCAATTTTCACTACCATCAGTTAATATTGTTACCCAAGGGGTCACTTACATGGACCAACTCTTCCTCATCTCGTGCAGAATAAATAGCGAATCTCTTTTCCAGCGTGGTCTGCAGGTTACCTTGCTCAGGCACTGAGAGGTCCGCATTAACAGTGAATGTTCCGATGAACCTGGGGAGAAACCAGGTATTCCCTGTGCAGCAGTGAGAGTGAAAGGCAAGTTCTATTCGTTCTCAGCCAAGACAACCAAAATGTAGGGGAGGGAAGGGTGTCAGATCAGGGCAGGCAGGCCCGCTGCGGGCTGATCCCTATCAGCACTGAAGTCCCACCCAGGTATTACCAGCTGAGGTGCTTCCCTAACCTCTCACCTAGACTGGGGATCTGAATCTACAGGTCTGGCTTGCCCATCCACATACTCGGGTGCCTGGGCTCTCTCCTCTTTTCCCAGGTGCTGTGACCTGAGCCACTCCCCAACCCTGAGGCCCCCCCCTCCACCCTACCCTGCATTAGGCACAGGGCCTTACCACTTCACCAGGTTGGAAAGGTAGCCCAAGTCCACATCTTCAGGTGGCACCTTGGTGAAGCGAGCTGGGACAATAGAGAGGCCAATGGCTAGCAGGTCTGGCTGGCTACAAACACTGTTTCGATAGAAGCCATTTGCCAGGAGGCAGAGTAGATGAACCTGCAGAAGGAAGGGATGGAAGGAAGGCTGGGAACCTGCTGAGGCTGTGTCTCCACAAGAGGTCTGCAGGCAGGAAGTACTTAGTGGCACACAAGGAAATAAAAACACCGTGTGAGCCATTGTCCAAGACCATATCTTCAACCCTCTCCTCTCCTTATACTCATTCCCTTGAAGAAATCATCCAAGTTTGAAATACATACTTTTCCTCTGAAGGTCTTGTCCTAAGGCCAGGTATGAGGATTGCTACAGACAACACTCAGTTGTGGGCTGCTCCCCTAAAGTCAGGGGAGAGGGGTGTGGGGAAAGAACAGGAAGCATGCAGAGAGTGGGGGCCCTCCATGTCACTGTCTCCACTTGAGGGTGCCTCTGATCAACTCCGCTGCCACTGCACACCCTGCGCCTCTACCCCTCACCACCTCACCCTACTGAAATGATTCCGCAGCTTTTGTCCACTTCCTACATACACCTGTGTCATTTTCCTGTCACAATCAACCTGCTTTCTCCTAACAGTCTATCTTCACTAATGCTGGTGCCTTCCTTCCCTCACATAAGCTTCAAACCTCAGTCATCTTGCTTCTTCTTGCCTCCATCTCCAGCCCCACCGTGAGGTGACAGAAATGGAGCCACTGCGTTCAACTCTGGGAGTGGGTGTCTCTAGTCTTACCATCTTTCCCTCCAGTGCCCAGCACACCTTCCTGGCCTCCCACCTCTCTCCTACACAGATCTTCCACAGCACCTCAGACCCCCAGTCAGCTTTCCACTGCTGAGCATCATCCTGACTCCTGCTCTGAAGTCTTCTCACTCCTCTGCTGAGCCCACAGCCTCCTCACTGTAGGCCACATGTGTTTCAGGGCTACTTCTTTATTTTCAGATTCTGGACTATCTGAATAGACCTTGATTAGCTGAGCATCTTTAATCCCAAAGTCAAAAATCGAAATCCTGGAACTCAAAAAGTTTAGTTGTTTTTTTTTTTTTTGAGCCAGGTGTGGTAGTGCACACCTGTGGTACTAGTACCCCAGAGGTGGAGGCAGGAAAATCTCCATGAGTTCAAAGCCAGCCTTAACCACATAGCAGGACCCTGATTCAAAACAAAAACAAAAACAAAAACAAAGTTTTGCAGCATTTCAGATTTTGGATTTTTGGACCGGTGAGCAATTCTCATTCCCCACAAGAGGACCAGGTCTGTGCACAAGTTCAATATTAGCAGGGGCCACAAGCACAGGCTTTCACTGCACTCAGAATCAAGGTTGTTAAATGGTTGGAAGAGGAAATGGGAAGTGAGTCCCTGTTACTTAGCCCTGCTGCTTGTCACTGCACTACAGGTTACTCTGCATATAATGTGGCCTAATCCTCATAGCACCCTCCAAACTGGGCAGTATTATCAGCTTCTACTTCACAGGTGAGAAGGCAAGGCTGTGAGAAAATGAGACACGTGTAATAAAGGACTGGGGTTGCAGTACAATGTGAAGGTCTTAGGTTCAGTCTCCAATGCTCCAAAAAAAAGAAAGAGAGAAAAAGAAAAAAAACCATTTGCCAGGGTCACCTTGTAGGCAGCAGAGCCAGAGATAAAGCCTAGGCTTGACAACTGAGCACCCAATTCTGTGTGATGCACAGAAATTCTGCCTTTCCTTCCTTTTCCCTTCCTGTCCTTACCTTGTGTGTGTTCTCGTGGACTTCCTTATTAAAACGTTTCATCATCCTCCGAAGATGGGTCTCAAACTCCATTTTTATCTTTTCCCTTCGAGGCAGAGTGAGAACTTGAGAATGAGGTGGGGGAGTGAGCCAGCCCATGTTCCTGCTCACTGAGACAAGGGAGCCTGTATCTTGCTTTCCTGCCAAGACTGTGCTACCAAGCACACCTGCACATTCTTCTCACCTGCAAACTTGAGTTGGGTCTTCACCCAGACTTGGGCCTCTACCTGCACCACCATGCCTCAAAAACATGCCTTTGAGCTCACCTTCTCCAGAAAGGCTTTTCCGTCTGCCCTCCTCCCTCATTATGAAGCATCATCTTTGTGTTAACATAGGACATTCTTCAAGGGCAAAATCTTTCATGTCGAGAAAGCCTGATGCTTCTTGAATGACTGTGATCATCTCCCTCTTCCTTGCCTAACAATAGCCCCATGATACTGTGGAATGCACAGGCTTCATGCTACATTTTACAAGATACTGCAGAGGTCTTGGGCATCCTGCAACAGACTAAGCCCCCTACCACAGTAGGCACTATCTTACGTCCTGTAGCAAAAAGTGCTAGGAAACAGCATGCACACTTCCAAGTCCACTGACTGGCTGGCTGGCTCTGGCAGCATCACCTAAGCTCTCTCCCCTGGCTTCTCATCTCTGATGCTGTGCTGAGGCTTAGCTAATGCACTGATAACCCACCCGCTCAGCCCCTGGCACACAGGAGAGCTCTCTTCCACCTCCACCTCAGCTGGGACAGAGTCTGAAGGGAAGCCCAGGTGCTCTCTGGAGTTCCTGACCACCATGTACTCAGCTGTGTTCCCTGTATGTTTATCATAAGTTTCAATCTATGGCCCATTACATAGAACAGCAACCTAGATCCTGGCTTGGCCTTACCTTCTTTCTCTTGTTTTCACCTGTTCTGGTGTTTCAATTTCTATCTCCACTGGCTTCAGAGGCGGAACAGACTGTGAGGCCGAACTTCCTCCCATGTCATCTTGTGCAGGTCCGCTAAGTTCTAGCAATGATAATTTTTAGAAATCAAGTAACAGTAATAATAATAGCTAATACACTGAACAGGATCAAGATTCTGCTGGGAAGGAGAAGTAAGGAATGGATTTGAGGTTCGCAGTGGCATGACTGCTTATTACTAGGCTTTGAGTTCCTAGGAAGACGCTGCACTAAGTGTTCATTCATTCCCATCTAGCCTGGACAATCTTCAACTGAGGGAACTGAAGCACAGATATACTGAGCTGAATTAAACACAGGCCCTTGTCATCAAAGAGCCAATACCCATGAACATATTTTTTTAAACCAAATTAAGAACAATCTCCTAGTGTATTACTACAGTAACACTGATCACAATATGCTCTGCCTAGGATTATGTAATGGGTGTCTGTCTTCCTCTCTCAGATAGAAACCTGTAACTGACAAGGAACACATCCTTGTCAGCTCCTACCTCCACACCCCGATATAGCTTGTATCACTAGTTGAAAGAAACAGAATTTATCTGCCTCGATCTAACTGGAGACTTCACTAGCAAAAACACTTCTAAAGGATTCTGACTCTCGAGGACAGGACACCTTGCTAGAAATGAATACATCAATGAAAAAAACTGTTTCTAGCTACAGACCCACTAAAATGAACCAGAATTAAAGATCTTAATATTAAAACAGAAACATTAAACCCACTGGAAGATAGAATCAGTAAAACTCTTGAAGACACTGGTGTAGGTAAAGACTTTGTGAATAAAACTGTGATCACACAGGAACTATCACAAAGAATCAACAAGTAGGATTTCATCTTATTAAAAGGTTTTGCACAGCAAGGGAAACTATCAACAAAGTCAAGTGACAACAACTTACAGTCTGGGAAAAACTATTTGCAGCTGTTCCTTAGACAAAGGATTACTGCCAAGAATATATAAAGAATTTTAAAAAGTCAAGCCTCCTAAATTCAGAGATGCAACCCAAAAATGGGCATCTGAGATAAATGCACACTTCTCAGATAAAGAAATACAAACAGCAAACAAATATATGAAGAAATGTTCGATATCACTGGCCATTTAAGAGATGTAAATTAAAACAACACTGAGATTCCATCTCACTCCAGAAAGAATGGCTGTTATAAAGAAATCAATCAATAACAAATGCTGGAGGAGGGGCTGTGGGGAAAAAGGAACCCTTCTCCATTGTTGGTAGAAGTGCAGATTGGTACAACCACTGTGGAAATCAGTGTAGAGATTCCTCAAAAAACTAGGATTAAAGGTCCCATTTGATGCAGCTATTCCTTTTCTGGTATTTACCCAGAATTAAAAACATCATACCACAGTGATATATGTGTACCCATGTTTATAGCAGCATAATTTGTAATAGTAAAATCTTGGAAGCAAAATCCAAAAGGCCATTAACCAGGGAATGGATAAAAAAGATGTAGTTTTTGTATACAATGAAGTACTACTCAGTCATAAAAGGATAAACTGCAGATTTTTATAGGTAAATGGATGTAACTCAAGTCCATGCTCGTACATGAAATAAATCAGACTCATGCAAGCTTCATATTGTCTTCCTAGTATGAAAAACTGAAAGAGTAAACAAGATATTATAAATGTATATTAATTCTGGAAATTATGTCATGTTAGTCTTCCAAAGTTTTTTCTTCCTTTTCAAAATGGTTTTAATGATTTCAAGTCTTTTAGATTTTCATAGAAAATTGTTATTTTCCAATTGTTTCATCTTAAAATGCGTCTTGAAATTTTTAATCTCTCTGTAATGTTTTCTAGTTTTCTGTATATAGGTATTATAAATTCTGTGATGAGATTTATCACTATTTTATATTTTAATACTCTTGTAACTGATGTGCTTTGTTTTTGTTTGTTACCATGAAGTAGAAGTATAGTTGCTTTTCAATAAACATTAGAAAAATAAAATAAAATAAACCAGGGATTCTAGGAGAATAAAGGTTGATATCAGGCCCGAACCAAGGAAAGTAATGGTAAACCTGGAAAATATTATCTTAGAAAGCAAAAATGGTCTCCACAACTAATGAAACCAAGTCAAAATATGTGGTGGTACAGCCTGCTCAAACTGAGCTTCAACAAGTCAGGTAAGATGAATCTTAACAGACAAAAAGAGATATAATGCACCATCTATGAAGTATCCTTATGCAAGAAAAATAATCTTAAATCAATCAAGTCTTTGAATTTAACTTATAGTTTGTAAGAAATATAAAGGATACTGATCTAAGTTTAACATTCCATGAGATGTCTGATTGTTTATCAGACAAAACTAGAATGTTAAACAAAAAACCACGAGGCCTGCACCCTTCAAAAGAGGCAGAATAGCACACACATGTAATCTCAGATACTTAGGAGGCTGAGGCAGGAGGATCATAAACTGAAGGTCAGCCTGAGCAAATTAACAAGACCCTGTCTCAAAATAAAGTAAGTAAATAAGGCTAGGGGTGTGAATCAGTAGTACAGCACTTGCCTAACATGTACAACTCCCCTTCCTGGGAAGGTGGGGTATATAGTTCTGGATTTAAAAAGAGTAAAAAGACATAACGATTAAATACAAGGCTTACAAACCCACTAAATCATGAATTATCAAAAAGACAAAGGTATAGCTATAGAGATTTTTTTTTAGATTAGTTTAGTGTTTTTTGGACAGAGGCTATCACTACGTAGCCTAGGCTGATCTCAAACCCACAGTGATCCTCCTGCCTCAGTCTCCCCAATGGTAGGATTATAGGTGTACACCACTATGTCTGGCACATAACTGGGGACTTATTTTTATTCTCTTAACTGTGATAGGGTTGTTTTATCACATAGGAGAATGACTTACTCTTAGGGCATGCTGATGTGTTTAGAAGCAGTGTCAGGATGTCTGCAACTTACTTTCAAATGGTCCCATAACATGTGAAAGTTGAAGAGACCCTCCATACGCTTTCCCAGTTTTTGTAGGTTTGAATACTTTGAAAGTAAAATGCTGGGGGCTGGGGATTTAGCTCAGTGGCATAAGTGCCTGCCTTGCAAGCAGGCAGTCGTGAATTCGATCCCCGGTACCGATAAAAAGCAAAAAGACAAAACAAAACAAACAAACAAACAAAAAAAAACAACAAAAAAAGAAAGTAAAATGCTAGGAAAAAAATCATGTTCAACACAAGGAATCAGGAATGATTATATTAGCTGCTATTTACTGAGTATATGATGGCCCAGACCTTTACATGTGCAAATATTTTTCCCATAATAGTCCTAAAACTAGAATACACACTCATATTACAAACCCAGTATTTACAAAATGCTGCCCATGAAAAACCTGTGCTCAGGAAAGTGAAATTCTTGCCCTGGCAGCTATACAAGAAGTGAGGCGAGGCTTTGCACTAGGTTTGATTACTCCAAAACTGTCTCTCTATTCAGCTTTGGCAGTCACCAGAGCAAGAAAATATACCACCTTCTTTGATATCTTGCACACAAGAGTTTTCCTGTCATGGCTGTGTATCTCTGTAATCCCAGCTACATGGGAGTTAGACCGGAGGACGGCAAGTTCAGGGCCAGCCTGGACAACTTAGCAAGACCCTACTTCAAATTAAAAAGGGTCGTGGATATGGCAATGTGGTACATACCTCCAGTTTAACAAAAAAGAGAACTTCCTACTGCAACCTTCTTTTCAGTCTTAGGTTGTGACAGTCTCAAAAGAAAACAACGGTATTGCACTAAGGTGAGGAAAGAGGTCTCACCTTCAACCTCTTCCCAATCATCTTCACTTTCTTCCTCATCTCCTTCATCACCGCCATTGTCCGTGACAGCCTCTCTCTTTGGACGCTGTGCCTTCTTGAGGTCACGTGAAAAGTCTCTGGTAGAGAAGACAAGAAAGAAGATGAAGAGGTCTCAGATATCCTCACGTAACTTTCAAGCTAAACACATTTTTTTTTTTGTCTATTTTTCTTTTTATCGGTACCAGGGATCGAACTCACGACTGTCTGCTTGCAAGGCAGGTGCTTATGCCACTGAACTAAATCCCCAGCCCCAAGCTAAACACATTTTAAAAACTCACCTTTCTGTTTACTTGTGTTAAGACTCCATTGCCATTACATATGGAAGAATCGTGAGTTGAGACTCCTTTTCCTCCATCAGTGAAGCTCTCAAAATCTCATCAAGACATGCTCTGATTATCAGTTTCATTAACACTAGTTCTGCTGTTGAAACACAGAACCTATTGCCTACAATCTTTGTGCAGGAAAACACAGCTATGTTTGGAAATGGTGAACCCTAGGTTCATAGAAGCCACAGTAGCAATATGAGCTTCAGACCCAAAAGCAGTGATATCTAATGCATTCATGTGCAGTTGAAAGTCACAAAGAAGAGAATTTGCATTTGCTGATCCACCTAAGAACCAACTCAGCCTTCTTTCCACCCTTAAAAATATGATATAAGGAAGCCTAGGCATGGTAGTCAATGCCTGTAATCCCAGTATTGGAGGCTGGGGCAGGAAGATCGTTATGTATTCGAGGTCAGCCTGGGTATATAGTGAGTTCAAGGCCAGCCTGGATTACATAGCCAAGACCCTGTCTCAAAAACAAAACAAAAGAAGACTTAAGGAAGCTAAAGGTAGTAGAACTCTTAACTTCAAGATAAGTGAGGCTCTGAGTAAACATACATTCAGAAGCATGGACAATTAACTAATTAGGTAGCAACTGCATATGCAAGTAGCTAGCTAAACAGTTCAAGACTAAACAGCTGTTACTACATATAATGCACTTCTTCAAATCCATATATAAATGTGTCTAGAATGCTGAGTTATTTTAAACTTTCATTTTGTGGTACTGAGGATTGAACCCAGGGCCACATGTTAGCTCTGAGTTACTTTTAGCTTGTTTAAACATCGGTAACACTTACATTAAGTGATGCTATTATGTAAGATTTTAGCATATGTAAAATAACCAACTCTCAGCCTTCAACTCTAATAATGCACACTTTTTTTTTGCCTACCAATTTCTCGAACACTCTATTAACCAAAAGCTTTCCTTAATAATAAACATTTCTGTCCATGTGCTAAGGGTTTGACTAGCAAGTTATCATGTGAGAGCAAGGGGGATCAGAGCTTCCTTGCCAGTACCGTGATCTATCTCTGAGTAGCTATCTCTGGGAGGAACTTCAACAAGCAAGCAAGCAAGCAAGCAAATGTCTGAGAGGACAGAGGAGCTACAGGGCCTGCTTTCCCTGCCCCTTTCCACTGCTGCCCTCTACTGGATACTCTACAGCCCTGCAGGATCACAAGCTCTGGAACAGCTAACCCTGCAAGCCAGGTAAGCAAAGAACCTTCTACTGTACTTTCTGCTTTTCCTTTAACTGCTTCCCCCACTGCCTGCTTGGGAGGCAGATAATCAACTTGTGCACCGCATGTTAACATTAAAGGATCATATGGCAAAACACTCAGCATACACTACACAAGAGGCTCCAGCAGAAATGCCACAGGCCTGAAGAGTGAGCCACAGGTGGTTCCAGTCTTGAAGAGCTTTGAGGTTCAGTGTGCACATATGGGTAGTGTCCCAAGTAACTGTAATACTGGGTAGACACATTTGCTCTTCAGAAAGATAGTGGGAACTCAGAAGAGAAAGCAGGGAAGAAACAATGAAAACTAGAGCAGATGGCTTCAGATACAGGTCTCCAAGACAGAAGAAAGCATTCCAGGCAGAAGGAAAAAATATGCACACAATGCAGGTGCACAAAGTACAAGGAGGTGCTGGTGAACACTGAGGAGTGTGAGCTTGCGGAGAGGGATGCCAGACAGTGCTGGAGCAGCAGATAAATACCTTGCCCACCACCTCTGTATAGTCCAAAAGTGGACCACTGGACCGCAAGTGACCTGGCTGTCTTCCTAGAGTGGTCACCATCCAGCTGAAGCACTAGGAATAAGGCATTGTCTGCAAGCTATCACTTTGCACAAGAAACTTTCTGGTCTGAAAAGTTTAAAGACTCCTCTTGCTCCCCAGATCTCAGTGACAAGCAAAGAGTGGGTTCTCTGATCAGAACAAGCAACTTGGGTCCAATGCTTTTCACCATCTCACCTGAAATCTTCCCCTTCGCTGAGGGCTTCGTCCTTTATTGCCTTGAGGTTTTCAGATTTAACAGTCACCTTGGTCACTTTCTTTTTTACTGGACCATCTACAGGGCCTCCAGCATCACTGGAACCTCTCTTCCTTTTTCCTTGTGAAACTTTTGAGCGAAGGCTCTTCTTTGGGAGTTTCACTTTCTTATCTTCAAAGACATCTAGGTGACCATAGGGAACAACAGGTGAGGGAATTGAAAGATGGAGGCAGTGTGACTGACGGAAGGCTTGTGAAGAGGCTCTGTGCCCTCTCCAACCGTGCCTCTGTCACCAGCTCACTATCCCATGTCTGCAGTGCAACTAGCTCTCAGCCTCTCCCTACCTACGCCCAGTCACCTCATCAATATTCAGAGTAAGAGTCATTCATTTGTAATGGGGGAGGGGACAGGTGTGCTAGGCAAGTCCTGTCCCAATGAGCCAACCGCTCTCTTCTACTAGTACTTTACTCCACTTTAAAACTGTAGCAAACTCAAAAAACTCAACTACAATCTAAATTTTGCTATTGTTTTTTTGAGACAGATTCTCGCTATTTAGTTGGCCTTGGACTATGTAGCCCAGCCTGGCCTCGAATTCACAGCGATCCTCCTGCCTCAGCTTCCCAAGTGCTGGGATTACAGACATGCATCACCATACCAGGTATGTTTGTATTTTTCGAACAGGGTCTTGTTATTTAGCTCAGGCTGGCCTTCAATTCACTATGTAGCTTAGGCTGGCCTCAACTTTGTGGCAATCTGCCTGCCTCAGCCTCCCAGGTGCTGAGATTACAGGTATGCGCCACCAAATCCAGATAAATTCTATTTGGGGGGTGGTACCAGGACTCAAATTCACAACTTTGTGCTTTCCAGGCAGGCACTATGCCGACGAGCTATATGCCTACCCCATAGACAAAATCAATCTTACATTTCAGATAAGCTCCAGTGGGGAAAATACCTGAAACTACTCATTAACAACTTCTTTACTGCTTGCCAAGAGAAGCCATTTGTTTGTGCAGTGATTCACTCCTTTTAGGTGATATTTCCAGTTCCTACAATACATATTTCCACAATCTCGTTTTTATTAACCTGTTTCTGCCAAATTCTTCTCAAAACACATACAATTTATGAAGTCTTTCCAATCTATTATAAGCAGCATGTGTATACCTATGCTGCTTATAATTGGACCCCGGCTGGATCAAACTTCAGGTTGGAATAAGACCATACAGATTGTGTTCCTTATCCAAAATGCTTGGGGCAAAAGTGTTCAGATGTTGAATTTTTCAGATTTTGCAATGTTTACAAAAACTTTCCTGGTTGAACATTCTTAATGTGAAATCCAAAACCTGTGCCATGTTTTAGGTTTTAGATCATTTCAGATTTTGGATTAGAGATATTCAAACCTATTGGAACTCAAAGGTAACTTTATTTTCTTAAAATAACTACTATGGTGTTTGTTAAAGAAAAATGTTTAAAAATTCATAAACTGTTGATTTTTGTTAAATCATGGTATCTACATATGTGTCTTTCATTATGTATATTCGTAAATTTACTAATTATAAATAATAGGGCAAGGTGGATATTCTCTCATTTTGCAAACATATTCACCCAAACAATAAATTAATCTTCCTTTGCTTTTTAATTTCTCTGCCTTGATTAACTTTGGAAAATAAAGATACTCTAGTTTTTATTAAGATCTCAAATTGAATGTTATTAAACTGAAATATCGAATAATTCATTTCTTTTATTTATGGTTTGTCCTGCTATCTCTATGGACAAGTATTCATATTCCTAAAGAATATATTTTGCATGGGGGGAGGGACTCCACCTTTAAATAAAACCAAAATTTAAAGATCATATTAGAGGTATTTAATGCTGAATTACTGACTCAGTTATATGTCTTTAAAATGTTTTATAAAAGAAAGAATCTGTGTAGAACCATGTTTGAAACACTGCAATACAATCATACAAAATCATACAAAAACATACAAAAACATTTTGAAAACTGTGGCAAGAGATTTCTTATTCTAAGGCCAGAGGCTTCTCAAAGAGTTTATGACTTGATAGTTTCTCTTGAGCAGGCTGCCTTAGAATAAGATTTTATATTACAATGATCTCTAGCCCTCTATCAATCAGAAAGAATGGAAAATACTTGATCAACTAATTTAAACACATAAAGAAGATACTTCAGAGTCACTACCAAATGTACTACTCAGTTGCTTAAAGGGCACAGCTTTTACATCTGTGTTTTGCAGAAGTAGAAGAATCAAAAGGAGGCAAGAACAAAGCTAAATCAAAAATATTCACAGGAAATTATTCCTACCATCTAAAATGGTTTTCAATCTGAATATCCTGCTAAGATAATCATCAAGTAAATTCAGTCACGCAATGAAATCCAGGCAAAGGAAACTGATACATTATGTAACCATAAGCTTGCCAAGTTGTTTTTGTAGTTTGCTTTCAGTTTGAGGTTTAAAAAAAAAAAAACAAGAAAGAAAGTCTCTGGCCAGCTTCCTGTAATCCTAGCCCTCGGAGGATGAGGCAGGAGGATTGTTGCAAATTTGAGACAAAGGGTACAAAGCCTAGGGTACAAAGTGAGCCCAAAGCCAGCCTGAACTATATAATGAAACCCCATCTTAAAAGACAAAAAAAACAGTCTGAAAAGAAAAAGTAAGGAGGCCCTTATTTGGTGGTGATTATTTCTGGGTGGCAAAAACAGGAATGAGTTTTTCTTCTTCCTTTCTTTATTCTTTGCTGTGTTTTTCAGTCCCTGAGAATCCATAAGCTATTTCTCAGGATTTTCAAAACTTGCCTAATATACATGCCTGAGCTCAATTTATTTCAGTAGTGCAGAAATGACCACTGTAGTTTGCTTGGCCAGCTACTGAGATTTATTAAGAATGCCTGCATACACTGCTAACAACATTCCAGTGCAGGACAATAACATTCTAACTACAAACCTGACCTCCAAGGCAAGGGCTTGCCCACCTCTCTATCTCAGTCGCTTCCACTCACCCCTCCACAGTACGTCCAGCCAGCTGGCTGAGTTCATTCCCTCCCAATTCTCTCTGCCTAGAGAAATGTTCCCCCATAATGTCCTATAAATGGCCCAAAATTATATTCAGTACTTGGCTCAAAATGTTGCCTTCCCACAGAGGTCTGTACTGACCACTCACTCTGATTTAGTGATCTTTCCCCACACCCATGGCACTTAATTATAGACCTGTTTTGCATTCTTCATAAGAGTTTTGTTTTTCTTACCTTGTTATTGTTGGCCTCTTCTACTTCCCCAAAGATTATAAGCATCATGAGAACAGGGACCTTGCCTGCCTGATTTGGGAATTTCAGTACCTAGAACACCGCCTGGCAACAGTAAGTGCTTAAGTTGCTGGAGGATCTGATCAATTACATCAACATATACAAGAAATATGAAGAAACCAGAAGGGTTTTTACAGCAACAAGGAAATAATATAGATGATTATTTTCTACTTTCTCTGTTCCTGTCAAAAGTAGTTGAGTCTCACGTTCATTTGCATGTACAGAGGTACTTTTAAAATCTATACTCCTCTACTGTTAGAAATTGCACTGAATTGTCCCCAGTTGTCACCTGTAACCTGTACCACAAATGTGAGGTCTGTGCTCCTCTACCCAACCACAACAAAGATGGTAGTACTGCGTGTTGGAAGTCACCATGGAAACGTTAGCAGTTTCTTAAAATAAGTTGGTTCTATCATTTCCTTTAAGTGTCAGAGTATCTGCCATAGCCTTTGCTGAGCTTTAGATCCCATCTCACCAAAAACTCAATAACCACACTACAGAGGAGGCTCAGAAAGGCTAGACATGTTCAAAATGACTTAGCCAAGTGCGCATAGCTACTTAATGAGGGAGCAACACAAAACTGTGTCCAGGGGAAGCATTAGGCTAGAAAAAAATGTTGCCAAGGCAGGAAACACTTCCACCAGCTTAAAACCTTTCATGCTTGAACTGCCACATACCTACAACACAATCTGTGAATAGCAACTCCCTTTAACAGACTTTTGCTGAAATACCAGTAGTATCTATCCATCCTTAAAGGTACAAATTAAACTCAACACTTGCAGAAACATTTCCCAATCTCTTGTGTCAAACCTGACTATTCTTTTGGAAGCTACAAGGCCTTGTACTATACTTTCTCCCATGATATTGAACATGCTCTAACTTGGACATTTTTTATACAAGCGTTATGTCAACAGTTCTTTCAAAATCTCTCAATCTCTCTTATGTAACCTAACCAGTGTACGTCACATAGCAGATATTTTTAAATTACCTAAATGAGTAATAAAATTTATAGTGTGTGTGATAAACCATCTAAGTTTAGGAATTACTATCATTTGACTATCTCTTCATGGGCAATGAATTTATATTTGGAACAAAATCACAGAATCTAATGTCACAGGAGCATCTGCAAGTTACCTAATCTATCCAATCATTTCAGAAACTCTTCTACAACCCGAATTTTTTACATATGTTAAGACATTTATTGAGCCTATGCAGCGAGGGGAGCAAAAGGAAGAACAAGTTAAAATGCAGGAAAACATGTAAGTCGTGTTCTTTTTTATAGTTTAACTTCTAGATAGGCAATAAAAAAAATTAACAGGATCATTAGAGACTAAGAGAGAGCTCTAATGAATGGTGAAAGTACTGGGAAAGAGGACCCTCATAGCGGTCACTTGAGGCTTAAAATAACAGGAAAAAAATGAGCCTTAGCAAGAGCGTGCAAGAACATTCTGAGCAAGAGGAACATGAAGGGCAAAGGCTTCAGGTAACAATTCAGTTGGTAGATTTGAGAGACAGGAAGAAAGTCAGTAAACGCAAGATAAAGTTGACAGATTTGAGGGACAGAAAGACCAAGGAAAGGCAACAACAGAACAGCGTAGCAGCATCCAAACGTGGGCACATACAAGGGCATGTCGCCATGCTCCAGAAACTGGGATGAGGCTTGAAGAAATGGGAATCCGTGATGGTATGAAGCAGAATCCTGCCTTTTAAACCATAATTTGGACTGCTGAGTGGCGAGTATTTTGCAAGGGGATGCAGGGAAGCCAGAGAAGAGGCAACTCATTTGGCTAACAGGTGTAGAGACATGGGACAATGATTGTGGTCTCAGAAACATAGCTCTGGTCCAATCTTGAGGCTGGACTTATTAGCGAGCATCAAGTGTGACCTAAGGAAAGGGGCGTCTGCTTTTATCGGTGGGTGAAATGGAGGGAAAGGAAGTCTGTGAGTAATCAACAACTGCCGGGTCCAGACTAAGTCAGGAAGCCCGCTCGACACCGCTAAGTTGCAGGATGGAGGCAGCGGGGCGACCGCGACACTGCTTCCAGCTCCTTCAGACAGGAACCGAGGGACCCGGCGAAGCTCGAGCATGGGACCTTCGCCAGGTGACGTGTGTAGCGACCTGGGGCCCCCTGTTTCCCAGTGTCTTCCACGTCGTCCTAGACCCCCCCCCCCCCGTCCGGGTTCCCACCACCTCCGCAGCGGTTCCTAGTCCTCACCCGCCTCCTCCTCCTCTTGCCGAGCTGTGCTAGCTTTCTTGGCCTTATGGCTGCGCGCCGCGCGCTTCCGAGACATGCCGCCGGACGATGTTGACCGCGGGCAAGATCCACTCGCGCTGCCTCCAGACACAGCCTAGTTAGCCTACGCGTGCCCCTGGGCGGAGCGAAGCTAAGTCGCTCCCCTTCTGTCGTAAAGTTGACCCCGCCCAAAGATCCCATATAAATAAACTACGGAAAGAAATCTGGTCGAAACAGCAAAACAGGTTTTTTGTACTTCCGGTGCTTTAGGCGTCTCTTTTCCGGAGACCGGAGTCGTTCGCAAGTTCTCGCGAGAAGCAGGAAAGGGCGCAGGGTTTGAAAGATGGCGGACGACGTGGACCAGGTGAGGGGATCTTGAGCTCGCTCTGCAGCAGCCTCCCTATTTCCCGCCTCCCTCTTTCCTTTCTAATACTTCGCAGAGGTGTCCTGCCGCGCTGCCCCCGCCCACCCTGCAGTGTCCCAGGTGCCGTGGGCCTTGCTCTGACGTCTGTTCCTCTCCCGAGCCTCGTGCTCCTGCAAGTCGGAGTATATACTTCTCTGGCCTGTTAATGGGGATGCACGTCAGCAACTAATTACGCGAATGCCAGTGAGCTTGAGGGCGAGAGCTTGTGGCTTCTGTGTCCTTGTAATCCGCAGGTTGATTATCTGGTCCTTAATAAACGTCTGTTGAACTGAGGTGAGGGAGGTACCTGCTGAAGTCAGGGTTTTTTCTCCCTCATCTGACTTTTTAAAGTTGTAGAGCCTGTTACTTTCAGTCTGATTATTCTCACTGAAGAAGCTTTTGAGTAATCTTACCAACCCTAATGGCCGCGACCGCCCCTTGCATGCGGGTGTCCAGAAGTCGTATCCTGGCTTCTAAAACCTGTTCCCAACAGTTCTTTATTCCTAATAACGGGAATATGGGTATTTAATGTTTTCCAAGTGTTAGGTTATTTAGACCTCACAAGAACTCTAAAGGAAGGTTATACCTTCCTCATTTGGAATCTGAGAATTAGAGGTACCACGCTCTTTAATCCCAGTTCCAAACCACTAGGTCAGAACCGGTTGAACCCCCTCCACCTGACTCCAAAGCCAGTACTTTCAACCAGTATTCTACATTGCACAGTAAATATATTCATCTTACTGGCCGATCAGTGCCCTAAACTTAACCTGTCCTGAGCTGAATTCATAGTCTGCCTGTGGATCTTAAACTTTGTTGAGCAATCTGACTTGTGTATGATAAGCATTACATGAATGGTTCTCAGTTAAGAGACATACGAGATAAAACTAGTCTCTGAGCTTTACTTCCTGTGCCTTGAGTTTAGGTCCTACAACTTGGATTTCAAGGGAAGAAAGTACAATGGTGGTTATATAGCTGTGCAACTCCTTCCTGTGGGTATATATTTTAGCAATTATTTATATAATGTGTTCTGTACAGGAGACCTGGTTCTGAGGCTTCATAAATATCACTTAAGCCTCACAACAGCATTGAGTAGACACTATTGTTTTACCCATTTCACAAAGTATAAGACTAAACTACAGAGATGGGTGTGGTGGCTCATGCCTGTAACCCCAGAACTCAGGAGGCCGAGGTGGGAGGATCATTGCAAGTTTGAGACCAGTCTGGGCTACAAAGTGAGCTCAAGGCCAGCCTGAACTGCATAGCAAGACCCCATCTCAAAAAAGACAAAAAAAAAAAGACTAAGTTACAGAGGCTAAATAACATGCCTAATGGTCACATAGCCTTATCCTGCCACATTATCAAGCCTGTTTATTTTATCAGCAACAAACCACCAACACCGTAGAGGAGCCACTGGATCTCATCAGACTCAGCCTGGATGAGCGAATCTACGTGAAAATGAGGAATGACCGAGAGCTTCGAGGCAGATTACACGTAAGGGAATGTCAAATTACCTTGAAATCGGAGAGTTTTTTTGTCATTCCTTCTTACCCTCACTCCTTTGCAATGTAAAAACTACCCAGTTGGAAAATATTTTGAATTATGGCAGAGAGAGAGAGATGGAAAGCCACTTACTTTTTTAAGCCAAATACAACTATATTTTATTCATACTTCTGATGGTTTTTCTCCTGACAGATATGTGATTATATAGAACATTTTTATTTCCTTAATTTTTTCCTTACGTTTATTTGTAAATCAGTTTATTTGTCCTCCATTCATTTTGGCAGGGGGAATGTCAGAAATCAAACTCAGAACCTTGCACTTACCAGGCAGGCACTGTGCTGTTGAGCTATATCCCCAGCCCTCGCGTTCATTCTTAAATGCTTTTTAGTTACTATTGTATGCATGAATATGTTTTGTTGTAAAGAAATTAAACACAGAAATATATAGAGTAAAAGATAAAACCCTATTTCCTCCATTGATAATCACTATTAAAAACTGCATGTACATTCATTCAGATGTGTTTTTACATATCTGTGTGCATCTGCTATGTGCATATATTTGTGCTATATATACCATATCTTTGAAAATGGGATCTTGCCTCATATTTTTCAGTATCTTTCTTTTTTGCTTAATCTTTCATGAAAACCATTCATTATGAGTGCATGTTAAGTGTCCTTCATTTATGTTGGGAAGACCCTGGGCAGTGCTGTCACCTGATCTTTATAACAACCCTAAGAAGATAGCCTCTGCTAATTATTTCTGCTTTGCAGTTGAGGGAGCTCAGACTCAGAAATATGAAGTTACTTGTTCCTAGTGACTTAGCCAGTATGGAAAAGCTAAAATATAAACCCAGGCAATGTGACTTGAGCTCCATTCTTAGGTACCATGGTTCTACTTTCCATGAAACATATAAAGGACCTCTTAGGTCACAAGGGAAATAGGGGCCAAGGGAGACAGTAAGTCCTAGTCTACAGTGAGCTTTAAAGGACCTCCAGAAAATGAAATGGGGTCAGTGTTGAGGAGAAAATAGAATCAGCTTAATTGCATAATTCTGTAGCACTTGGAGTGAAACCCCAGAACAGACATGTGACGTTTAACTCTTGGAGATTCTTCCATTACCTGTGTAGACCCATGGCACCTATACTAAATGCCCCAAGTTTCCATTATTTTTTGCTCCTCAGCTATACATTTGGCTTGTTTATATGCCCTGCCTTGCAGTTGCCCACTTGGCTGGTAGGTTATTTTTATCTTGATGCAAGCAGGCACACCATTTAACACTTTGTTAGAAGTAAATGTAAGGGCTGGGGATTTAGCTCAGCGGCATAAGTGCCTGTCTTGCAAGCACTTGATCATGAGTTTGATCCCCAGTATTAATAAAAAGAAAATTTAAAAAAAGAAATAAATGTAACAAGGCCCTAGGACAGTAATGGTAAACCTTCTGGAACTTTCAATGACAAAAAACACCTGCCTGTGGTACATGTGCCATAAGTTCCCCAACACTTCCCTAAGAAATTCACCTACTAATAAATGAACTTTGGAGGTAGCATTGAATATCTTAATTGCAGCATTAATTGACTACCCACAGGTGCCAGGCACATTTAAGTTCTAGATAGGTTATAAACCATAAGGTGTTTTGCTACCAACTTTACCTTTGTGGTCTATACCAGGACAGAGAGGGTCAGACAGCAGTATCCTATGTGGTTAGAAGACTGCAATTCTGTTATCTTAGCAGTGAAAGGATTTTTAACTCACATACTGTCTCTTGAAGAAGTGTTCTGATTTCTGTTTTTGTAATTTAAGTATTATAAATGTTGTGCTCGCCTTGGATAACAAATAGAACTGGTGGTACTTAATAAGTAATTTCAAGTTATTTTGAATGTGTTCACTTTTGGCCATATAAACAGTTATATTTTTATCAGGTGAGTTACACTGTTGTTGGAAATAATTTGTGAAGAAACAATTGACAAACACAACAGGATGGGTTTTTATCTGCATGTAAAAGTTTATGATATGAATATTAAAAGTGCTGCTTGTAGTGGAGCCATTTGCATGTGGTAAGCCTGTTTGTCATTCCTTAATGACATTTTTTGATTCCTTGGCCTTCCCACTTCAGGCTTATGATCAGCATTTAAACATGATATTGGGAGATGTTGAAGAAACTGTGACCACTATAGAAATTGATGAAGAGACATATGAAGAGATATACAAAGTAAGTCATGCTGTTCTGTTTATCACTTTGAAAATGTCAGTTTTCATAATACAGCAGCTTAACATACATTTACAGAAAACATGTGATGTTTTGGCACTTACTTATGGACTTGGTAGAGTCTAGAAGCTACCCCCAAACCTGTTAAGGGAAGAGCAGGACTTTGGGGTCAGACATACCTGGCTTCCAACACTGACTTTCATCTCTGAACTCCCTTGGGCAAAGAAATTAGCTTTGTGCACTTCTCAGTGGTGAACAGGAGAATGCCAGTTAACTTACAGAGTTTCCACATACAGTGAGGTCTGTGTCTAACAGTAATACACGATATACTCATCTGTATTATAGGGATTTGCATGTTAATCATTATTGCATGAGAAATTAAGATACTTGAAGTATTCATTTAGAAATGGAAACAACATCATTTTAAGTATATTTTCTTTTTTTTAACACCAGGTACATTAGAAAAGAAGAAAGTTATGAAATATCCTCATATCTTTCCTTAAGAAATTAAAAGTAAAAGACAAAATAAAACCAAAAACCAATAGAAGAAAATAATAAAGGTCAGAAAATACAATCCCTATCAAAATACCAACATCACTTTTCATAAAGATTAACATTTTGATTCTTACATTTCTGTAAAAACACAAATAGTTGAAACAACTTTGATAAAGGAACAAAATTAGAGCTCCACCCTCCCCAGTCCCACAACTTAATCACAGAGTTATACCAATCATGACAAAACAGCATTGATATCAAGATAGACTAACCACCAAAGTACCAATATGAAGTCCCAAAATAGATAGCCACATAACACATCTTTCTGGCAAAGATGCAAAAGCAAATAAATGAAGAAAAGATTGTACCAGAACAACTGCAAAACAACTGCAAAACAACTGCAAAAAACCCAAACCTTATAGCACATCAGAAATTTCTTAAGATATCTAAAAGTCAACCCAGAATAGCTCACAGTTAGTTAAAGTAAAGGCAGGTTGTGCCGGGGATTTAGCTCATGGTAAGCACTTGCCTGGCAAGCCCTAGGTTGTGAATTTAATCCCCGGTGCTAAAAAAAAAAAGTAAAGGCAGCTGTGGCCTGAGTGGTTGCTTTGGCTGAAGTCATTCTGGCATAAAATACATGTTTTTTCTTTCAGCTTATCACACTAATGAAACAATACAATGTTTATACACGTGTGACATTTTTTTCACTAATAAGTATGTTCTCAAAGCACATCCATTTACCTATAAAAAAGTCCAGTTTGCCATTCTTTATGGCTGAGTAGTACTCCACTGTATACAAATACCACATCTTTCTTTTCCATTCCTCAGTTGATGGGCATTTTGGTTGTTTCCCAGATGGTTATTATAAACTATACCACTATAAGCATAGGTGCACATATATCGCTGTGGTATAATGTTTTTAATTCTTTTGGGAAGATACCCAGAAGAGGAATAGCTGGGTTGAACAGGACCTCTATCCTAGTTTTTTGAGGAATCTCCACACTGATTTCTGCAGTGCTTGTACCAGTTTGCATTCCACCAACAATGGAGAAGGATTCCTTTTTCCCCACAGCTCCAGCATTTCTTCATGCTAGCCACTTCTGGGGTGAGGTGGAATCTCGGTGTTTTAATTTGCATCTTTTGAATGACCAGTGCTATTGAACACTTATTCATGTATTTATGTTTGTACTTCTTCGTCTGAGAAGTATGTGTCCATTTTAGATGCCTATTTTTGGAAGGACTGATTTTTTTTTTTTGAGTTCTTTATATGTTCTTGATAGTAATCCTTTATCTGAGGATAAATTGGCAAACATTTTCTCCCATATTGTGGGTTATCTCTTCACTTTGTTGGCGATTTCTCGTGTTATGCAAAAGATCAGTAGGATGAGATCCCAGTTGTTAATTCTTTGCCTACACAAATGTCTTCAAGAGTTTTACCTACTCTATCTTCCAGCAGATTCAGTGTTTCTGTTTTAATGTTAATATCTTTGATCCATTCTGATTTTAGCTTAGTGCATGGTGAAAAAGATGGCTCCAGTCTTAATCTTTGGCATGTGGAAAGGCAGTTTTTCCAACACCATTTATTAAAGAGCCTATCTTTCTTCTAGTGAATGTGTTTGGCACCTTTGTCAAAGGTAAGGTAGCTTAGTGTATCTGTAGTATTTTTGCATCTTCTCATCTATTCCATTGATCTTCAGGTCTGTTTTTTGCCAGTACTACACTGTTTTTAATCACAGTAGGTTTATAGTATAATTTCAAGTTAGGGATTGTGATGCCCCCTGTCTTGTCTTTGCTGCCTAGGATTGCCTTTGCTATTGTATGTCTCTTCTGATTCCAGATGAATTTTAGGATTGTTTTCTCTAATTCTGTAAGATGTGTTATTGGAATTTTGATTGGGATTGCATTGAATCTGTATAACAGTTTTGGAAGTATAGCCATTTTCACTATATTGGTTCTTCCTACCTAAGAGCACAAGACATCTCTGCATTTTCTAATTCAATCTCCTTTTTCAGAGTACTGTAGTTTTAATGTAGAGGTCTTTTACATACTTTGTTAGATTGATTCCTAGGTATTTCATTATTTTGGATGCTATTTGGAAAGGCAATGTTTTCCTGATTTCTCTCTCAGTGAGTTTGTTATTCATGTATAGGGATGCTATTGATTTTTGAGTGTTGACTTTGTATCCAGCTACACTACTGAATTTGCTTATTAAACTAGTAGTCTTTTAGTGGAGTTTTTGGGGTTTTCTAAATAGAGTATTGTGTTATCTGCAAATAATATAATTTAACTTCTTCCTTTCCTGTCTATTCCTTTTATTTCTTTCTCTTGTCTAATTGCTCTGGCTAAAGTTTCCAAGACTATGTTGAATAAGAATAGAGACAGTGGACATTCTTGTCTTGTTCCTGATTTTAGAGTGAAAGCTTTCAGTTTTTGTCCATTTAGTATGATGTTGGCTGTTGGTTTGTCATAGATGGCTTTTATCAGATTGAGATAAAGACCATTTATTCCAATTTTCTGTAGTGTTTTTATCATGAATGGGTGCTGGACTTTGTCAAAAGGTTTTTCTGCATCTATTGAGATGATCATGTTTTTTGTCCTTGGCTCTGCAAATATGATGTATTACGTTTATGGATTTACATATGTTGAACCATCCCTGCATCTCTGGGATGAATCCCACTTGATCATGGTGTACAATCTTTTTGACAATTTGCTGCTGTCTGTTTGCCAAGATCATACTGAGGATTTTTGCATCAGTATTCATTAGGGAAATTGATGTGTAATTCTTTTTCTTAGTTGCGTCCTTCTCTGGTTTGGGAATCAGAATAATGCTTGCTTCCAGGAATGAATTTGGGAATATTGCTTTCCTTTTAATTTCATTAGAGAGTTTGAGAAGTACTGATATTAGGTCTTTACTAAATTTTTTGTAGAATACAGCAGTGAGTCCATTAGGTCCTGGGTTTTTCTTTGTTGATAGGTTTTTAATTACATGTTTAATTTTATTTATTGATACTAGGTTATTTAGAATTTTTATATCTTAATTCAGCTTTGGTAATTCATATGTATCTAGGAATCTGTCCATTCCTTCTGTATTTTACATCTTACTAGAATATAAATTTTCAAAGTGTAAGTATAGATGTTTTCCTGGATTTCTACAAAGTCTGTTGTAATTTCACCCTTTTCATTTCTAATTGTATGCATTTGAGTCTTTTCTTTCATTTTTTTGATAAGGTTGGCTAAGGTTTGTCAATTTTATTTAATCTTTCAAAGAACCAACTTTTTGATTCATTAATTCTTTGTATTTTTTTTTAGTCTCCAGTGTGTTAATTTCTGCTCTGATCCTTATAATTTCTTCCCTTGTACAAGCTTTTGGTTTAGCTTGCTCTTTTTCTAGAAGTTTGAGGTAAACATTAAGTTGTTTGTGCTTGCTCTGTTTTCCTGATATGAGTATTTACTGCTATAAATTTCCCTCTTAAGACTACTTTCATTGTGTCCCAGTATGTTGTATTATAATTACCATTCAACTTTAAAAACTGTCTTAATTTTTTTCTTTAATTTCATCTGTGAATTTTTTTCTTTAATTGCATCTGTGACCCATTGGTTATTCAGGAGTACGCTATTTAATTCCCATGTGTTGAAGTTCTTATGGTTTCGTTTGGCGTGGTTTTCCAGTTTCATCACACTGTAGTCTAATAGTATGCATGGGATAATTTCAATTCCTTTGCATTTACTTAAGCATATTCTGTGAGCCAGTATATAGTCTGTTTTAGAGAATGTCCCAATGTGCCGCTGAGAAAAATGTATATTCTGATGTTGTGTGGAACACTCACTCTGTAGACACAGAGTCTACTGAGTCCATTTACTCAAAAGTTTGATTTAGTTCTAATATTTCATTATTGATTTTTTTTTTTTTTTTGTCTAGTTGATCTTTTTGTGACAGTGGGATATCCCAATACAATTGTATTAAGGCTTATTTGATTTTTCGTATCCATTAATACTTGTTTTATATTACTGGGTACACTAATATTTGTGGCATATATATTTATGATTGTTATCTCTTCCTCTTAGATTGTTCCCTTTACTAGGATGTAGTGACCTTCTCTACTTAATCAGTCTTGGCTTGAAATTCACTTTATCTGCAAATAGAATAGTAACCTCTGCTTTTTTCTGAGTTCCTGTTGCATGGATTGTTGTTTTCCTCCTTTGACTTTCAGTCTATGAATTTCTTTTTGGATTAAATATGTTTCTTGTATACAGTATATTTTTGGATCTTGCTTTATAATCCATTCTGCCAGGCTGTGTCTTTTGACTGGTAAATTAAGACTATTAACATTAATGGTTAAAACTGATATGTATTGATTTATGCTTGTCATGTTATTTTCCTATTATTGCCTCCCCCCCCCCCCCTTTTTTTTCTTTTTCCCTTCTCTCTGATTGTTTGCCTTTCCCGGTGGATTCCTTCTGTTGGGGTTCATGGAGTTGCAGTTCTTGTTATCTCTTTCTAGAATGTCCTTCAGAACATTTTGGAGTGCTGGTTTGGTGATCATAAATTTCCTCTGTTGTTCTTCGTTGTGGAAATATCTCATCCCTCAATTTTGGAAGATAGTTTCGCAGGATACATCAACCTGTGTTGAAAGTTGTTTTTCTTTAGAACTTGTACTACTTCACTCCAAGCTCTCCGTGACTTGAGAGTTTGTGCTGAGAAGGCGGCTGTAATTCTAATGGGCTTTCCTTTATAAGGAATTTGTTTCTTTTCCGTAACAGCTTTTAATGTTCCATTCTTGTGTTGAATTTCTGGAATCTTGACTGATAAACCTGGATGTAGTTTTTTTTAATATTGCTAATTCAAGTTCTGTATGCCTCACTTTTTTTGTGTATCAAATCCTTTCTCTACCAGAAAAGCTTTCTATAATGATGTCTGTGAACATGTTTTTAATGTGTTTTGTGGTATCTCCTGCTTGTTCATTGACTCCAGTTAATCTTAAATTATTATTCTTTGTCTCATCTAGCAGCTGCTGGGTTGATTTATCATGATCCCTTGCAAGTTTTGAGAAATCTTTCTTTTCCTTACCACTAATTGCAAGCCACTCTTCACTATCTGAGATCCTGTCTTCACATTGGCCTAATCTGCTTTTAATACTTTCAGTAGAGTTTTTATTCTCCTGGATATCTGCTTGAATCTGCTTTATGGATTCCATTTGTTTCCTGTATTGTGCTTCCATACTTTGCTTAAGCTTGTCTATTTTTTTGTCTGTGTCTACTCTAACATCACTCAGCATAGTATGTATTTTGATAATCTCTGTAGTTGAGAGATTATTTCTGATTTCATTTTTTCTAGGGCCTCATTGAATTGCTTTGTGACCAATTCAGAGAGACCTGGTAGAGGGCTTTCTGTTTTTCCAGTCTCATTGCCCCTTGGGTTTGCCTTTGGTGAACTGGATGTCTGAGGTTTGTGTCTTGTTTAAGTGCGTTCTCATATCTTTTCAATGGATGCAAAATAATTATATACAATATGTAAGTCTGTAATGTATCAATTCTGTCCTCAAGGGTTAAAATTCAAAATGGATTAAAGAGAAAACAGAAAAGTGGGACAAGAGAAAGAGTTTACAAGTAGGTTGGAGGACAAAGATGGATCCCACCAGCTTGGAGAAACTGATGCAGAAGGCTGAAGGAAAAGAGCTGGAAGAGTTAAAGGTAGAACAGAACAAAACCATACCCACAAGGAGGTTAGGAACTTGCTTATACTCAAAAAAAAAAAAAAAAAAAAAAAAGAAAACTAAAAGAGAAAGATAAAAAACTAAATAAGCATACAAGAAAAGATAACAACAACAACAAAAAAAATAGTCCACTTCTAGGATTCTCTCTGGATTCACTAGTAGACAGCCTATGGAGACAGTGTTCCAAATCGTGCCACTGTATGCCCGCAAACCAGAAGTTGCTGTGTGACAGAGTGGTAGACAACCTTAGCAGGCCTGCCCTAAGATCAGACTCACTGGGCTCGCCATAGTCCAAGCAATTTCTACAGGTCTGCACTCAGCTAGGATCTGCTGGAGGAAGCTGGCAACAGTTGTAGTTCCGGGCTTATCTGGCTCGCCTCCAAAATGTCTCTCAGCTAATTGCTCCCTCCCATGGGAGGACCAAGTCCCCTGCACTCACAGCCAGCCAGCACACTCCTCCACGTCTGCCACTCTGCCATTCCCTTCCATCGCTGTCTCTCCTCAGAGGCTTCTAGGGCCACCAGCCACCACCATCACCATGACCACGTGGCCCCAGGTTCTAACAGCTCCCCTGTCACAGTGAGTCCAGCTCTGGGCAAAGGCACTGCCAGCTACCAACTTCTTCATTGAAGTTTTTCTTTTTACTCTCTCTTTGTGCTTCGATTCAAACTTTAAACTCTTCCTGGGCCCAAGGGACCCAGGACTTCCTTCTTGTCTTCCTCTTGATGATATATTCCCATGTCTAGATGGTGTCTCTGAGAAGCTGTTTTCTCTGCCGCTTGCTACTACACCATCATCCCAGAAGTCTCGTAAGTATTTTTCTATTTTATGTGTATCTATATTTTTTCTAGTACTGGAGATTATACCCCTGGCCTCACATATGCTAGTAGCCACTCTACCACTGACCTATATCCACAGGTCTTTTCATTTCTATTTTTAGACAGAACTTTTGTCTGTTTCCTTCTATTCTATCACTACAACTTGTAACCCTCTTGTTTTAGCCTACTAAGTAGTTGAGATTTACAGGCACGTGCCACAGAACCCACCTTAATTATATTTTATGATACAAAATATTTGGTAAAAAATGTGTTTTACATTACTGCAAATCTACATTGTCTGGCTTAACTGATGACAGCTACATTTGCAAATCTTTTTTTCTATATGTAGTCCATTATGATATGTTGTAATTGCAAACCTGACTGTGCACAGAGGGGCAGTTGGAGAAGGGCAGAATATATTTTGCAGATACTGTTGTTGATGTTATACCTAATCTCAGCAAGCAGTAGTTTTTAAAGTCTGTTGCAATGTGGTGTCCACCACCACAGCAGTGAACTCTTATCTATTCTTGAAAATATACTGACCTGCTTTGTACTTCAATTGGATCTTGAATAAGGTATGATTTGGTAACATCAAGCAGTGGTCATTTGGAAGTAGTTCATTGGGTTGTGCAAATCTTCCAGACTATAAAGCATTTTGCTAGTCAGTATTTTAATGGTCACATTAGTTAGTATCACCACTGGTCTCATCAAAGAACCCTTTTACATTATGAAACTAGTCTTTTGCCCTGCTGGACCACAGAGATTAAGGATATGGGCTTGGGGGGGAAAAAAGAATTTAAAAAGAGCCAGTGATATAGCCCAGTGGCTTAAGCACTTGCCTGGTAAGCACAAAGGTGTGAATTTGATCCCCAGTACAAAAAAAAAAAAAAAAAAAAGCCAGGCATGGTGGCACACACCTATAATCCTAGCACTCCAGAGGCTGAGGCTACAAGATTGTTGCAAGTTTGAGACCAGCTGGGCTACAAAGTGAGCACTTGGCCAGGCTGAACTGCAGCCTGATAGGAGACCCTATCTCAAAAAAACAAAAACAAACAAACAAAAAGAATATGGGCTCGGATTTCAGGATCATTTGGTTCAGATCTTAACTCTGCCATCACCTGCACAATTAGGCCAGGTTGCCTCACCTGTGTGACCATGTCTTTAAGATGTGGATCACAGTAATGTGCACTTCTATGATTATCAGTGACTCGAGAAGTTGTGACAGGCCAGGGGCAAGTTCAGAACAAGCTTCTACTGGTTTCTGTAGTTCTCCATGCTTGCTGTCATCCTCCTCTGTCCAATCCTGACACTTTGGTTAGCATTTATTCTTCCATATGTAAGCATTTGGCTTTTTTTTTCACCTATATTTTTTTTCCCATCGGAGACAGTAAATAGTAACCTGTTCTTGTGGAAATTTTTGTATTTCATGTTTTTAAAGATGGATATAGTTACAATTATAAAATGTACTTTTACTATAAAATGTACTATAAAATGTATTCCAATTATAAAATGTACTTTCTTTTTCCCTACATTTTAGCATCTTTGAAATCTGGTTGCTTCATATAACTGAGATCTGAAAAAATAGTGTCCTTACAGAGTTCCAGGAAGGTTTATATTTGTAATCTCAAGGAGAAGTTACTGGAATTCTAATGAGTAGAATCTACCACTATCTACCACTTCCAGTGCAACCCAAAGCGAAAATAAAGACACTATATACAGAGAATAAAGACATATATACAGTTATGGGAAGCCAAGGGGTCCTAAGTCCAGCTAAGATGATGGATCACCAGGACAAAGGCTAGGACCCAGTGCTCAACCTGGGTTTTATTAGTTCTCCATGAGGGGAGTGGCTCAGAGATGAATGACAGTGAGAGTGGCGGGAAATACATGACTGCCATGACTACTATGAGCTGGGCTCGGTAGGAGGTCTGAGATCACCTCTGTGATATGCAGAGGGCAAGAAATGCAGAAAGAGTAATCTGTATAACATAGCTGAGGTAGTAGCTAATAATTTGGTGTCAGTGCTGCAGTTCTGATGTACAGTCTCTTCAGCCCTGGGAAGTCATAGCCTCTTTCTTGAGGCTTGGTCTCAGCTGACAGTGTGGAACATGGCTCTCCATCTAGCCTGGCTCAACTATGCATTTGAGGAGTCACTGGGTGGGGTAACACTGACCTGTCACTTTGCTTCAGAGATTGCACATCAGTTCCTCAATCAGCACAATTTACATTGCTTAAAGCCAATTGAAAGGACAAAGAAATAGCCTGGCCAGCTCTGTACATGGAGATAGGACCAAGTCTATCAAAAATGGAGATAATTGCTCTTCTTCTTAAGAGCTGTCTGGATGGTTCTCCGCAGCATCATTTTTCCTTAAATATGGAGCCCACAGTTTTGTATCCCGCTTTTTTTATGTAATGTTACTAGTACAAGAATTTCACAGTAGAAATACTCTTCATAAACATTTGGTTGTTCTCATCCTTAATTCCGCTGTGATAAAATGCCTCCAGCTGTGTGTGTCTGCTCTCGGGTCTGCCCTGGTGCCTGCTGGGCCATCTCCCACCTCCACTCACCTGTTCAGCAGCTTCACCCCAAGACTGCTGGAAGTGCCAGGTGTGCACACACAAGTGGAGGGGGGCGGTCACAGTCCCGCTTATCCCTGACTTCTATAAAGCCGCCGAGCTGCTGCCTCCTTTGGCCTCTGCATGCTGCCACCTGGTCCCCAGGCCTCTCTTGCTTCTACAGTTACAAGAGCAGAAGAAAAAGCAAAGTTCACCTAGCTAATTAGATGTTCTCACACTGTCATTTGTTGGGTAAAATGTTAAAAGTAAAATCATTGAATGATATGAAGCACTTTCCTCATTTCGTCTACAAAGGAATAAACTGTCTTCTGTGGTATTTGTAGCACCACACCACTTTCTGACGGGCCTCTGTGTTGGGTTGGGTTGGGTTGTGTTTGATTTGGTTTGGTTTGGTTTGGTTTTTGGTACCGCGGATTGAACTCATTACCTTGCACTTGCCAGGCAGGGACTTTGTCGCTGAGCTATGTCCCTAGCCCCCAGGCCTCTGTTCTTGTGTAAACAGTTTGCTTTGTCGGCTGTCAGATGCTCATGGTAGGTTCTCCTGGTGTGTCCATGTAAATGTAGATGAAAAGGACGGGCACATCTGCCGGAAGCATTGTGAGCACAATGCCTCCTCCTGTACAGGTGCTCTCTGCGCAAAATGAGAAGCCCGACTACAGGGCCTCTCACCCCTGTTACATGTTTTGCTGTCTTTCCCTTACTGAAATGATTAATGAACATGCACATTATCAAATCAGAAGAGGACTCACAGACCAAAGGTATTCTGTGAGTTTTCCCATTGCTTACATAACTAACTTACATAACTTATATAATTCAGGTGCCTACTTATTTGCTAATGGGCAAGCAGGCAGCCTCACTCTTGGTGCTCTCTCCACACCTAGAGGTTTTTTTCTTTTTTCTTTTCTTTTTATTTTTTTGTCTTTTTTCTTTTTATCAGTATCAGGGATCGAACTCACGACTGCCTGCTTGCAAGGCAGGCGCTTATGCCACTGAGCTAAATCCCCAGCCCCCACCTAGAGGCTTTTGTAATCTGCCAAAAGTTGGATTATTTGGCCCCCACAAATTTTTCAACCATCCATCACATTTACTACTCTCCTTCCAAAGTCTGGCTCACCACACGCTATTTCTTGTGCACTTTTGTACCTGAGCCTAGAGCCTCGGGCTTGAGGGCCCCCGTTGTCCTATAGACCTCTGCCTAATGGAGGGATACCAGACGTGGCCCAGCTGAGAAAACAGCTCCAGATGTCTCTCTTGTCTCTTAGTCCACTCTCAAATTAGTGTTGATGTTTGTTTGCTTCAGAAAGTCTAGATAGAAAGACACCAGCCGACTCTCATCTGCCTCAGGACAGAGTGTGTATAACAGAAATTCATCAGTGCTCTTTTAAAAAACACTTATCTTATGTAGTTTGGGTTTCAAAAGCAACTGATTCTTCTAATTTTGCGAATCCTAGTTATTTTTATTTCTGTTTAAAAACTAGCTCTCCTGTTGTTGCCTGAGCCCCTCTATTTTGAACTTCCCTGCTGAGTGCATGAGGCCAAGGCAACCCCTGTTAATAATCTACCTTTTCCAGCATCTTCTCTAGAGCCTCTAGGTTCTAGAGCCTTTAGGCTATTTTCTAAATTCTGTCTGATGTTTGGGCAAGGGACAGTGATGAGGTCGCTGTTTCCAGGCTGCCGGCCCCCCATCCCCATATGTGCCTGCAGTGTGTCACAGGGCTGATTTCCACATGACTTTTCAAGTGGGGTTTGTTTAAGGTCAGCACAACAGCCTCTTCAGGTGACTGTGGCCTGGTTGTGCTGTCCCCCAAGTTCTTGCCATTATTTGCTTCCGGCCACTGGAAGAGGACAACCACAAATGACGCATTGTGGGAGATTTGTAGGTTACTCAGCAGGCAGTCCTGTTGGCTTCTCATTGGTTAAGATGCAGTCCTATAGCTGATAAGGTAAGAAAGCAGCCTAGTAGTGAAAGGGGCTGGGGTCAGTAGGGCCCACTTCCCGCTACAATTAGTATCAAAAAAAGAGAAGAGTAAATGGGTTGATTGTGTATGCAACAAAGTAAATAATCAGATTTTTAATTGAATTTGTTATACTATGATGAACATGTTTTTCAAAATTTCACAAAAAATTTTACTACATTTGTATAAATGCAGTTTTCTTTCTTTCCTTTCTCTTTCAGTCAACAAAACGGAATATCCCGATGCTCTTTGTCCGGGGAGACGGTGTTGTGCTAGTTGCTCCTCCACTAAGAGTTGGCTAAACGGAGAATTTGACCTGTGTGGCAACATTTGTCTGTTTAACTGCACCAGACATTCAGAGGACAAGGCACACACATTGATACTGAAAAATGGCCAGGGTGTTTATTCACCCGTGAAATGAGTTGATTTGCGAAAACCTTACAACATTTTAAGCTAAGTACCATTTTTGTTTTTCTCTTAGCTTTCTACTAAACATATTCCCCAAGGTGCTAAACTGTTTTTCAGGAGTTATTTTGCTCTATCATTCTTGCAGACAATGTCTTTGTTTTTTTCTGTAAATTAAACTTGATGTTTCCTTTTTGATTTAACACAACCAACCTGTCTCGTGAGTTATTCAAGCATGTGTCTGATGTTCACTGTGTATGCATTCATAGTGAGGCACCAAGTCCTGCATTGGGTGGTATTCATCAGTGCACTGTTATTTGCCAGTCACAGGGCAGGAGATGGCTGCTGATAGAATAAAGCCATGAATAGAGCAGTAAGAACTCAGGACATTGTATCCAAATGAGGGGGGGTAACACCCAAGTAAGAACAGGGGTAAGGGCAGGCAGCGTGTCATCTTAAATATCACTGATCTGAAAGAACAGAAGGCACAGTTCTGCTGCTTGGACTACACTAGCTGTACAACTCTGAAGAAACTGTTTCCTCTCTAGCCATCAGTGATGAGGGCGTGAGACAGCACACATGTCACAGTGCATGTTTGCAGCCGGAAGTGGGGCTGTAATAACTTCTAGCACAAGCTAAAACCTCATGCTTAAAAAAGTAAAAGGAAAGTTGATGTGGGTTAACAGTCTCTTCACTTTGTCTCCCTCAAGTCGGGGTTTAGAACTGTTGTGAAACACGGGAAATACTGCTGTGGATGGCTCGTCTGTACACGTGCTGGTTGTGTTTGCTAACTGGTACCATGCTCACATGGCCATGGTGTTTCAAGCCACGTGCTACAAGAAAGATACTTTCAGTATGTGTCATGTGAAAAGGGTTTGTTTTCATTGCTTACTGTACCTGTCCCTGCAAGTTAATGGGGAAGAGAGAAACAAGTGTGAGTGAGTTGATGACAGTTTTACCTTGTGCAAGGAGGCAGGAGAGTTTCCTTTCACCTTCACTCTGCATCTTGTCCTCAGATTCACAGCAGCCCGTTTGCTGTGGAGCAGATGACACTCACACTTCCTGCAGTGGCCCCAGCATCAAGTGCTCTGAGAAAAATGGTGCACAGTGGTCACTCTGAGTGACCACTGGTCACTGCTAGGACCTGTGTTGTTCTGGAACAGTAGGGCATGATCCCCTACTGTCCCCACCTGAGTGGACATTTTCAGGCCCACTGTGGAGCCCAGCTGCAGTGAATCAGACCAGTGTCTGGCCACCTCTGGCCATCACTGTGGCACACTGCAGCTCCTTCTTGCAGTGCATTTATCTTTCTGGGATCTATGCTTAATCCCTGAGTATTTTTCCACCTTATTCTTAGGCATCTTTCTCCTTTTCCTCCTGGAACTGATAGCCGTGAAGACTTGTTTATACCTGTATGTTTCTAAAACCCAGGAACCTTACCGTGACCTGGCTATGTTTACACACACACACATACACAGATTCGAGAATTTACAAGCATATGCTTATCTGGCTATTAAGACACAGTATAAGAATGGCTGCATGTTTAGGGTAGAGGTTGGGTGGGGGGGTGCAGTGGGTGCTCTGGAGGCCACTGCAGGGCCTTACCATGGACCTAAAGTGAATGTCACCCATGCAGGATATTGACCAAGGCCCCTGGGAGCCACACCTTGGACCTTGAATTCTGGATGTTGGAGACTGTTCAACATTTAGTCCTGGCCTCTGGGAAGGTTGCCCGTAGTCACTGGAGCTGGTGGCCAGTGGTCTGCAGCACAGTGTCACACAGCTCAAGGAAGCCTCCTGATGGTCTTTCCTTCGGAAGCCTCAGCAGCTCATGCCAACCCAGACCCTGCCTTGGGCTTCTGAGTTGTCTTGCCTCCCACAGAGTTAGCTAGATAGACAAAATGGAGTACCATCTTCAGATGAAGTGTTTCCCAACTGAATCTTAAGTGTCCCAAACAAACCTAAAATCAGCTACATTCAAATAGTTTCAAACTTCAAATAGTTTTGAAGACCTGTTCAAACTAAGAGTTAACTCTCAACCATGAGGAGACAGAAACTGGCATCTAGTGCTCTTTTATTTAATTCTACGTAATGCTCAGCTACTGCCTGGAGCGATGTTAGCAGGTTACCAGCTAAGTAAGGCTTCTTGTTGAAGGTGGAAAATAACTTCCAGGAATTCCAGGAGTCATCCTGGTGGATGTTTTTCAGTCATGCAGCCCTGCTGAGCTCAGTGGACTTTGTCCTTGGGCCTGCTCAGATGTCCTGCTGACCCTGTGGCAAGGCTCTGTTCTGCCCAGCTGGCTCCTGAGCCATCTGCAGGCTGTCATTTTGGGGACAAGAACAGGGCTGTAACCAACAAGGCCTGTGTCTGCCCACCGTGGAGACAAAGAACTGGTCCCTTCTCTTTCTGTTGGAGAGGCCTGATTCTCATAAGGACACGAGGGGAAGGGATAACTCGATCTGCTTTAATGTATAGAAAAATTCCTTTGGTACTTTATTATTAGTAACAAATTTCTTGGAACACACCTCCATCAGTGTGATTCTTAACCTGGATGCAGGCTGGCACACCCTAGGCGCATTGATGGAACAATGGTCACTGGAGTCCCTTAGGGGTCTGGGGTCCTTAGAGTCACTTGGGTCAAGGTGCTGGCAAGCAAAGAGCTTTACCTGATGCACTGTGCACCAGCCCTTGGCCAGAGCCTGGGAAGGACTGTCCTCAGTCAAGCGAGAGATCAGGGGCAGCAGTGGCACTTTGTGGGCAAGAAGGGGCAGATAACACTTTCCAAGAAGATGGCCTGTGCACCCACAGCTGAATGGTGCCCCTCACCTCTGCACCCGCTGCCACCATTTCCTTCACTGTGGGCCTGGGGCCATTGGGAGACACATGCCATGGGTACCAAACTGATTTATCAGCTTACATGGAAAACAAACACCAGGAATTGAGGATGGTGAGGCCAAGCATTCTAAATTCCATCCAGATTCATCATTGCTCAAGTTTAATGAATCAGAGCACGTAGATTCCTGTTTTCTAGGCTGCTTTAGAAGCTTGCTGGGTGTGCACACTCGGATATTGATTGCTGCAAAGGAATTTCCTTACTTCCCCTGTGCACCATGGTGTGGGAATCTGGCCCTGAGTGGATTGGGAACCTGGCTACAGGGTCTTGCAGTGTGACATCTTGCTCATTTCAATTGCTCCCAATCTCCCCAGGTCATTTTCAGGAGAATCACGACTTTGAAATAAATTGACTCATTAGCCAGGATTGGTGGCACATACCTGGAGAGGCTAAAGCAGAAGGATCACCATGAGTTTGAGGCCAGCCTGGGTTACCTAAGCAAGTTCAAGGCCAGTCTGGACCACACAGTGAGACTTTGTCTCAAATAAAATGGACTCTTTTTTTTTTTTTTTAAACTCAATTTCAACTGTCACCATGTGCAACTGTCTGTCGTGGAGGAAGTTCTAAGGGCTAGGAGAGGGAGACACAAGGGGAATGTGCTGCATCCCATGGCAATGTCTTGGGCTGGTGAGGGAAAGTCACTGGGGAGATTGAACAAATCAGTGATGACAAGGTTGCTAGGTCAGAGGTCAGCAAAGTTGCCTATAAGGGTGAGGGGATAGGAGATGAAAAGGCCAGGAGAGTGACAGAGACCAAGACCAGAGGCTACTCCAGCTCTTCAAGGCCACTCCAAGGCCAGTTAGGCTGGGTGGGCTACTCACAGCCCCATCCCTGAAGTCTCAGCATGGGTCAGGCGCTCCAGCTCCTCTTCTGTACCCCACTCAGATCACACCTGCACCTCATCATCTTTCTCTTGATGAAGGAAGCTGTCTTCCTTCTTAGCTAATAGCTGCTCTGTTTTTGTGACCAAAAACTTAAATGTCATATCTATTAATGGATAATATGATTTAGTAACATATACAATGTATAACTGGTTAAAAAAAAAAAAAAAGGACTTTGGAACTCCTTCACCCTAGCTATCTGAAGTGCAGTGTGTTGCTCCTCTGTCACCGCGCAACACCGCATGGGAGTTCCAGCTCCTCTTAATCAAGGTCCCAGAACCAAGCGACCAACACTAGGGGGCGCTGTGACCCTTGCTTTCCACCCTCACTTTGGTTTGTAGTCAACTTGTGACTGGGGCTATGTGCTCTGTGCTGCCTATTTCCCTAAATCCAGTGCATGCACCTCCAACCCTGCTGTCAGCAGCAAAAGAGAAGAGGAAGCTGTTAGACAAAGTGCCCCTCTAAAGTCACCAATCCCAAGATGCTGAACTGAGAGGCTGTGTGGCTTGCTCACTGGAGTGTGTCCTGGCTGGGCGGTCGTGTCACCATACTTGACCGTACACATGGCTGGATGGTATCTCCATGGAAATGTCATCAGGGTTTGAGATCAGATTGTCACCGCTGTTGAGCAGATCCCTGTTCTTTTGCTAGCCTCAGCGTCCTCACTGCAGTATCCTTTGAGCAGAGGATACTGTGGCTTGAGGAAGGCCTAGGATCACTGTTCCTGATTGAAAGAACCCCACTTCACAGTTCCTGAGAAGCCTTTGGGTGCAGCCTCTAGGGGCCAGCCTTTGTGTTTGTAAGGTGAGAATACAGGTTGCATCTGAAGCCCCAATAGCACTGCTACTACCTGGATACCAGGCTTGGTCTCTCTGGTCTCCAATCTCCTCCTCCTTAAAATATGGCAGTGGCAGTATCAACCTCAGGAAGAGGTCCAAAGATTGAATGATGCCCACAAACACTTCAGCTTGGGCCTGGCTCAGGGTAGGCACTCTGCTGTCTCCCCTTAGCTATGCAGATGGCTGTGTAAAGTGCTTCCTGTCCCCTCCCAGTGGCCTCCGGAATAACTGTCAGTCCTTATGCCCAGGGTCAGGCTGGTCATCACGAGTTCACAGCTTTGGTCTTGCTGTGTCTCATTGCACCGTTCTCCTGGGTGTCATTTCAATGTTTTTCCTTTGTGCCTATTTCAGGCTGAGAACAGCTGGAGCTGGGATGGCCCACAGTGTGTCATTCTGGGGTTTGGAAATGTGAGGAGAAGGGACTTACCCTTTCAGAACCCCCTGCTCTTGCTGCCTTGGTTCTTAGCAATATTCTTCCCAGCCGGGTTTCTGGTGCTCCAGGAGAAGTGAGGGGAACCAGCTCAATGGGCAAGGTCACTGGACAGTGTCACAAGACAATGACATCACTGTCAGCTCTTCTCCAGGAAAAAACCC